ATATATATATATATATATATATATATATATACGATAAAAAGAGAGAGGCAGAGACAGAGGCAGAGGCAGAGGCAGGCACAAGACTTAATCTAAAACCAAGATAACATATACCCTTACCTTTACAACTTTTGTAATAATCTAATTTGAAAAAATGGCTGCAGGTGATCTTAACTTATTAAAATCATGGAATCCAAAATTAATGAAAAATAGGAAAAAAGTTTGGCAAACTGAGCAAGATTTATTAACTGAAGAACAAAAATTTAAAGAAAGACAAAAAGAATTAGATAAAGAACATGATTTACAAAATTTATTATCATCATCAAAAGATAATCAACTAAAACAAAAAAAATTAAGTGGTTTAGAATGGATGTATGATGAAAGAATGAATAAAGATGAAAATGAAGAATATTTATTAGGTCAAAAAAAATTAGATATTAAAGTAATAAATAAAGATAACAAAGAAATTGAATCAACAATTATTGAAGAACAAAAGATTAAAAAATTAAAATTTGATTATTCTAATGATGATCCAATGTCTAAATTTAATAAAGTATCAAAAATTCATAAGAAAAAAAATAAAATATCAAAGAAACCTTCATCAACTAATAAACAAAAACAAAAATTTTCTAAAAATTCATTTGATTATTAAACTGAAGAAAGAAAAAAAATAATTTCATAGAAAGATTATTATTTGTCATATACACATTATTTAAGAAGTATGGATTTTCTTCTTAGCAGGTTCTTCATCATTATCTTGCTCCTCTTCACTTAGATCAATACCTTCTTCTGAAGTATCATCAGAATAGGAATCTTCATCGGCAAAATCCCTTTGAGCCTCAGTATAATACTTAACACAATATGGATATAGATCTTCACTCAATAATGTGGCTAATGAATCACCATGTGGAAATTCTTTACCAGGTTTTAATCCTGTCCATCTAAACCAACCGAAAAAGGATTTCATTCCTTGTCTATAATTCTTCTTCCCTTCGGGACTCTTTTTATCCTCAATCAAATCAGGATTAATAGAATTATATTCTTTTGGCCATTCAATATCACAAACCTCACTTATTAATCTCTCATCGGATTCAATGTCATCAAGTTCAGTCTCCTTAGTATTGTCATCTTCTCCTTCTTCATCGCTCCTTTGTTTTGGTCCAATTTTCACTAACTTAAATTTTTTAGTTATTATTTGTTCAGGTAAATCATCTTTGATTTCATTGAAATGGAATGTAATAGAAAAACTACCAATCTTCTCTATATCAGAAGCATATTTAACTGTAATCTTTTCAATTGCATCAATATATTTAAAATCAGAAGCTCTAATATAATTTGCAAAATCTAAATGTTGTGAAAGAACAATCTTCCAGAATGATGGAATCTTCTCAATCAATGTATCTCTTTCATTATATGCAGATTCCATTTTTCTAATTTTAAATTGTTCAACCTCTTTATCAATTGATTCTATTTTAAATTCATTTTTGGCTAACTCTAAGAAAGTTTCAGAAATTTCTTTATTATCTTGGTCACTCATCATAATAAAATTTCGATTCGATTATTATTACTTTCTCAACTTATTGTATATTTTGTAACTTGATTAACACGTATAGATAGTCGATTGGTGAAGTATGTTTCTAATCGAGTGATGATTATTTCAAGTTATTGTGTACGTTGTTAATAAAGATGTGATGATTTGTTTTTATATAATTTGGTATATTTATCTCATTTAATTTTATTTTTTTTTCTGCTTTGAGTTCTCATTTCTTGGAACTTTAAGGAAATTTCCATTTGTTGGTGCCGTGCGGTGTACACTAGTAAAACAATACATATCATACAATTAATCGATTAAGACTAGGGTTTCTATGTTTAACCTAAGTCATAATAATTTCTTTAGCGTGCGATTTAAATATATTATAGTTTTTAATTATTTCGAATCAAATTATATTTGTATATAAGTATTAGTACATTAGTTTCGAATTATTTAGTTTGCAGAACCAAAGAATTCTTCATGTAATTTCTTTTGTTGATCCCATTGTTTCTTCAACTTCTTTGTCATACTCTTAGTGACATCATTGCCATCCTTATCCTTTGTAGGCATACCATTATCATCCCAAGCAGAATATAGGTCGTTATTTTTGAACATTTCTAAAGGTGATACTTTAGCTTTTTCTTTTTTTTCTTGTTCTTTTTGTTCCTTCAATTTTTGTTGTTCCAACTTCTTTAATCTCTTGGCTTCTTCTCTAGCTTCTTTCTCCTCATTGAATTTAACAATTTCTTGTTTTTCTTCTTCAGTTAAGAATTTCACAAGTGCAGATTGGCCATTTCTATCATCTAAAGAAATATTTAATTTCAGTAGATCATTATCTCTTACAGAATCAGTTAACTTTAAAAATTCGGATAAGGCAGCTTTTTCAATAGCCATTGAACGAACATTATCTCTAAACGTAGATAGTACCTTAACATAAGGCATAGCTACTTCTTCAAGTGATCCAGCAGATTTATCAGAACCTGAAGCATTGACCCAACCCAAATTATCAGGACGAGCTTGGAAACCAATAATACTTAAGATTTTGGTAATGTATTTACAAATATCTAAGACAGGTTCAATTTTCAAATCGTTACCGACAGAAGAAATGTATGAGTTAGTGATTGTTACCAAGTCACTCAAAGCTTTAATGGCTTGCGCAGTGGCAAGATTATCACAGAATGCAATGTCAACCTTTTCTTGAGTAGATTGTAAATCTTGTAATAATTTTGTTTCTAAAGAGGTCAGTTTCTTGGAGATGTTGTGAGACATACCTTCTTGCTTGTGAGAATTATCAGATTGCAAAGCTCTAACATTTTGGAAGAAATTATTAAATGAAGTTTCTAGAGATTTCACTTCATTTACAAGACTCTCCTTGAAATCAAGTTGGTTATTCCATTGTGCAGAGGCAAAAACTAGTCTTAGTTGTCTAGCAGAATAATTATTTAATGCTTCTTTGATGGTAATAAAATTCTTCAAAGATTTAGACATCTTTTGACCTTCAATATGTAGATGACCAGTATGTAAGAAATAATTGATCCATTGTTCGTTATCGAAGCATGCTTCAGATTGAGCCAATTCATTATCATGATGAGGGAATGCTAAATCAATACCACCTGAATGAATATCAATTTGACTACCAAGGACATCACTAGCCATTACAGAACATTCAATATGCCACCCTGGTCTACCTTTACCCCAAGGAGATTCCCATTCAGGCTCACCTGGTTTCGAAGCCTTCCATAGTGCAAAATCATTCTTAGATTTTTTCTCCTTTGTGTTTGTAGATAATGAACCTTCACCATCTTCAATTAGATCTAATTGACCCTTATTCCATGGTTGACATTTAGCGTAACTATGTTTATCACTAGAATCAAAGGATACAGTGTCGAAGTAAACACTACCATCGTCGGTAGCGTACCCGTACCCATTATCAATAATCCTTTGAACAAACTCGACAATTTCTGGAACGTACTCGGAGACACGGGTAGTGACACTTGGTGGTAGGACATTCAATTGAGCCATATCGTTATTGTAATCATTTTCCCAGCTGGCAGGTAATTTACGGAACACTTCTGGATCGTTGACTGTGGCACCTAATTCTTTGTCAAGAACCGGAACAAGGACATCTTTACTTAAGTTGAAGAATTTGGTAACGTCACTACGGTTCTCTTTCAAGGCAGAAATCGCATTGGAAACAGCAGTTGTGTGCATTGGGAATTTAGGATTTTTCATCTTTTCATCTTCAACATTTAAACTAGCGGCCCATTTATCAAATTCATCAATACTAGGCAATTGATCATTCAAGTTTTTGACGATATATGCCATGGTAGCATCAGTAACTTTTGACACAATAGATTCATCAATGTTTGCTACATCCTTAGTAAAATTATCGAACAAAAAATTTTGTCTAGCTCTAATAATAATTTTGTCATCAATATCTGTAACGTTTTGCACAAACTTAATATCATAACCAAAATATTCACTCATGATTCTTCTGTTAATATCAATAGAGACATAGTTTCTAGCGTGACCCATATGGGAAGCATCGTAGACAGTAGGACCACATGAATACCAACTAACAGTCTTAGTACCAGAAAGAGGAACAAAAGGTACTTTCGTCCTGGTTAAAGTATTGTATAATTTTAAAACAGGTTTGGATTGTTTTGGTTCAGGTGCATTCCATTTTGGCTGAACAACCTTGGTATTAACACTCTCAGCTGTAGATGACATATTTCTTATAATTAACTTGTACAGCGATCGGCAATGAGACATATAGTCAAAAGGAGACTACTAAGAATTAAGAGTAATAGTTGTAATAAGGGAACGTAAATACGTATCAAAGATTAAACCCAAAAATCCTAGTACCAATATAAATGTATATCTATATATATATCTATATATCTATTATTTTCAAAACCAAGATATATGTGAGTAACACATAACAGTTCTGACAAAACTACGTGCAAGATGTAAACCTCATGATGTGTACCTAACGTGGAAATGTCACCCATGCATCAATTCAAGAGTTAACAGAAACACGCCAAAAAGCTCCATAGAGTGCTGACCTCATCAGCTAAGCAGAAAATTTTTCAGTTTGCGAACCTAGCAGATTTCGCTGCACTTTGTATTCAAAATCATCTTGTACGTTAGTACAATATATTTGGTGTACGACCATTTCTGTGAATACCAATAAAATAAAATTTTTATCGTGAAAAAAAATGAAAAATTTGAAATTTAAACTGCTAATGAGATGAGGCATCTCATCTATACAATAACAACATTCATAGTATCTGATATATATTAATAGTTGAAAAGGAGATATTGTTGCTAGTATTTAACTTGTTGATAATTGGTGTGTTCTTCCAAACTAACAGAACTGAAAACTTATACACTAATATACCTGTATCCATTACAAAATGTCAAAAAGATCTATCAGTGAAATTGAAGTAGAATCTGTAGAGGAAAATGATTCCTTAGCCATTGGTTCCTTCTTTAAGGGATTCCGTGCCCCAGTTGATACTAAATTTGACCTATACCGTAAGAAGTCCTCCAAGAAGGATTATTTACTACACGGTGAGAATGAAAGACTAGAATATGAAGGTACTACAGATGACTTAGCTAAAGGTAATCAATCCGTTGTAGCCATCTATAACGCCAAGAAGAACACTGTTCAATTGTACAAGACCCCAATCTTGGTCTCTAAAGTGATCTCTAAGGCTAATAAGAACTTAAGAGGACCATCTATTAAGAATGCAGACGTTAGAGGTTCTGTTTTAAGAAATGCCCTGGGTGAAGCCTTCGGTACAAAGAAAGCCAAGAAAGCTATTGCTGATTTGGAGAGAAACCGTATCGATGCTGACAAATTATCTGGTGTTGCTGTCGATATCGTAGACGCTGTCAGAACTGCATCTAAGGATCTACCAACTAGACAACAATTGGAAGAAAACATCTCAAACGATAGACCTACTCCATTGGCTAATGTCGACGCTACAGATGTCGAACAAATTTACCCTGTTGAAAATATAATATCCGATTATGAGATGCAATTTATCCGTGTGGGACATTTATTAAAGGAGACAGATGTAGAGAAAAAATTGGAATCATTCCCATTCTCTTCAAAGTACATCACCAAGAAATTACCAATCTTTACACAACCTACTCAATTACCAAAATTACAACTATTATACTATTTATCTCTATTGTTAGGTGTTTATAATAACAGAAGGGTTAACAACAAGGTGAAATTATTAGAGAGGTTGAATTCTCCTCCAGAGACTTTGATCGATGGTATTCTAGATAAATTTACTTTGGCAAGACCAGGTCAATTTGGTAGATCTAAAGATCGTTCTTTCTTCATTGATCCTCAACACGAGGACAAATTATTGTGTTACATTTTAACCATTATCATGCATTTGGATAACTTCATAGTGGAAATATCCCCATTGGCACAAGAGCTAAATACAAAACCATCCAAGATTGTCGCTTTGTTTAGAGTACTTGGTGCTCTTGTTAAGGGTGCAACAGTTGCTCAAGCAGATGCTTTTGGTATCGCTAAGAGTGCTGCCAATACATATAAGATTGCCACTTTGAAGGTTCCATTTAAACTACCAGAGATGGTCAGAAGAGGTAGAGGTCCAAGACGTTAAGTGTACCTAAAAGTGATATTTTAGTTATCGTTGTGTCTTTTTTTGTCTCATTTAAATTGGTCTTGTCATACATACATACTGTATATTATAAAAAAAATAGAATATTTACCATATTGGTATTAATTATGAGAGTATAAAAATAAATATTTTAATTGGGTATAGACAAAATCGGAAAAAGCAAAAGTTCATATTTGCGTACTGAGATACCTTATTTCTTGTGGTTTAATATTTGCTTACTAAAATAATTTTCTATGTGTTAAATGGATCAAAAAGAGCCTTGTCCATAAGTATTTGGGACAATATTAGATATCGAAGTCTAGTATTTTAAAGTGTTTTGCATTATATTAGGAGTTTTTTACTAACTGCGCATGTTTTGTCTCAAATTTGGGCCGACACACAACATTCTTATATTATGACTTTAAGAAAGAACTATATGTCATAAAATAAACTACATAGATGTATCACATTCCAGAATACCGATATCGGTACAAAACTGATAGAATTCCTCGTTTCTATCTTGTTGAGCATTAATCATATTTTTATTTTTATTCATTTTTATTATATGGATGTTCTACAGATAATTCTTCTTTTCCAAAAGAATTATTTAAGATACAGATTATGTATTTCAAACCTCTGTTTTTATATATTACGAATTTAATGGCGTAGTTGTTAACCTTCACTTTCATAAACTTCTTTTTTTCATATTTTGTTTAAAATTTTTAAAATTCATCGCAATACATTTTTTCAATTATAAGAAAAAATAAAAATCTAAAAAAAATATTATAAAACTATTCACTTTTAATATTCCGTAACCTTATTGATATCAACCCATTCAATTTGAGATTTTTGTCTATCATCTCTCTTCACTTTAAAGAAATGATCAGTAAAATCTGAAGCATTCATATGATTCAAGAATTTTTCATCATGAGTGATAACAATCAATTGGAAATTCTTTTGATGTCTTCTAAATTGAATAATATTGGATAATGATTTAGCTAAACTCTCTATATTTTCTTCATCAAGATTAGTTGTTGGTTCGTCTAATGCAATCACACCACAGTTGATACCAAATGTTTCAGACAAAGCTAAACGAATAATAATAGAGGCCAAGACCTTTTGACCTGCAGAACATCGTCCTCTCATATCTAATTCTGCATCTTGTTTATACATTACGACACGATAATTGTAACTCTTACCTCTAGTAGTATTAGTAACTTCATCAGACCTGATTTTAATAGTGTCTATATCAGTTCCACTGTAAGTCCGTTTCCATAACTCATCTATAATCCTATTTATATCCTCCATTTTTAATCCATGGTACCTCATAATTGCATTATCCAATGTTTTTGAATATGTATCAATATCATCTGTAACAAATGTTCGAGTTTGTAATTCGACCCACTCCTTACGATACTTCTCATCGATATCTTTGTAATCTGAACGTAATTGACGTTTTAAAGATTCAACTTGGTTTTGTAATTGTTTTATCTCACCCAGTTTTCCGGCATTCTCAGAAGTGAGTTTTTCATATTCGTTTCTTAATCGGGAACTTTCTCTTTGGTAACTTTCTCTTTCTGATTCAGCATTTTGAACATCTAATTGTTCAATTTGAGAATTAATATCTTCCAATTTTGTCTCCATTTTAAGAAGCTCAATATTATCTCTCATGTTTCTCTGTTCACTATTGGAATCCTTGATTTTTTGTTTCTTAATATTCAACATATTGTAGGTTTCTTCAATGTCAGTCCTTATTAAAGTTAGTTCAGAATTTGTATCCTTATATTTTTTTATACATTCCGGTAAAGCATTAATTCCATCCTTTTCATATTCTGCAATTGCATTTAGTAACTCCGAAAACCTATTTATATCAGCTTCAAACTTTGAAAGGTGAGATCTTTTAGAGCCAAGATCTTCATTAAAAGCTTTTCTCTTTTCGTCAAGAATTTGTCTATCCTTCGATTTTTTTTCTTGAATTTTTTGTGATTCAACTTTCAACCGAGTAATGTCTTCTTCCAAATTTATTAACTTTTCTTTATTAATCTTAATTTCGGCGGCTAAAGTATTGGACCTTGTTAATGTTCTTTCAATCTCATCTATAAAAGAGGATTTTTCCCTTATATTATTCACCAATGAACTATGCTCCTTATTTCTTCTTTCCCGAGAATCCTGTAAATTGGCTATATCCATTCTCAATTGTCTCATTTCATTATTGCTTTTACGTTGCTCCTCTTGCAATTCACTTACTGATTGTACTGAGCCATCCGAATTCCTGTATGCCTCCAGTTTATTAGTTAGTAAATCCGATTCTTTAGTCAAACGGGTAATATCTTGCTTGGTAGTCATAAACTTTTCCACCAATGGACGGTGGACACTTTCTGCATGTTCTTTGTCATTTTTTAGCTTAGTACAATTTTCTTCTGCTTTATGTTTACCTTCCCCTAATTCAGAAACTTTTTTTTCAATTTCTTCTAATTTAGTTGAAGCAGTTAAGTTAGCTTGCTTCAGTGATTTTAATTGAACTACAAATTTTTCTAAACCTCTTAACTCTTCTAAGGTAGATTTTTCTTCTTTAACGATCTCTTTTAGAGTTACCTCAAATTTTACGTCCGTCTTTTGTTTAAGTTCTGTCAATATTTTTGACTTAAATTCAGATGTTTCAAACTTTCTACTACATAAGTAACAACTGTCCTTCTCCTTAGCCACTTCAAGGGCCTTCCTATTAAATTCCAGTGTCGTCTGGTGCATTTTCAAATTTTCAAGCGCAGTTTTATAAGACAATTCTGATTCCTCGACTATTTCATCGTAATCATCAATTAAACAATTCTCTGGCAATGATTCTTCTATCTGTCGTGTTAGATTTTTAATTGATTGCTTGTTGTTATCAATTTCTTTTAGTAAGTTACTCTGTTGGTATGTAGATTCATTAAAGGCTTTATCTTTCTCATGGAAGTCTTTATTTGAAACAGCTACCTTCTTTTGTAATTCAATGAAAACCTTTTTGAAATCAAGATCAAGGTCCTCGTTAACTGCTAAACCCCATTCCTGAAAAGTTTCATCAATATTTAATTTTTCTGCAACTGCATCATATACCATTTGTTTTTCTTTTAAAGACTCCTTTGCAAGTCCCAATTTGGCAAATAGCTCTGATTGTTCACTTGTTTTGGTTAACTTATCCTGAATAACTTCAAATTCTCTTTCGAGTACCAGTATTTTCTCATTCTTTTCTTTTATTTGAGTAGCAATAGCTTCAATAACATTTTCTTTTTCTAAAGATACTATTTCAGAATTTAACCTATCTAGGGTATCCTTTTCCTTCAAAAGATCGTCTGAGCTGTATTGTATAGTCTTGACTTCCTTGGTAAGGTCAGATATTCTGGTTTCTAATTTTATTTTGTCCGATAAATTATAATCAATTTTTTGTTGTAAAACTGTGTTTCTATATGTTACATCATTTAACTCGGTCTCAAGATGATTAACCTCTTTATTTATCTCCTGAGAGAATGATTCGAAGTCATTTGTTAAATTTGTCTTATGTTCTTTTAAATTTGACATAAAATTATCTAAATTAGCTTCGGAGTTACCCATATGGTATGTATTTGCTACAGCTGTCTTTAAAGTCTTAATACTATCCAAGTTTTTATGGTAAGTATCTTCCTGAGCCTTTAACACACCTTGATGTGCAAGCAACTCATTACACGATACTTGGAGATAGGTTGCTTTATCTTTAGAAGTTTGAATAATTTTTTCAATTGCCTTTATCTCAATTTCCTTTTCATTTATTGTATTTGAAAAATTCTCTAGTAGATTTTCAATCTCTGAAGTTGGGAGATCAATAATTTCTACTGATTGTCTAATTCTATTAATATCATTTTCGGTTATAGATTTTAAAGTTTTCAAATTATCTACTTTTGATAAAACTTCTTGAAAATCTTGATTTGATTTGAATAATTTATCTGATTTTTCTGTCAATATATCTAATTCTTTCTCAATCCCATTAACTTCTTCTTGAAATTCACCAATTTTAGCCTCTAATTGGTAAATATTAATCTTTGTAGCCTTTGATCTATCTCTATCAAGTTTCATATGCTCTACGGATTGTTTCAATAATTTAATATCAACAGCCATATCTTTTTTAATAGTTTTCAGATTATCTAACGCTTTAGTAAATTTCATTGCTTGGAAGATTTCATCAAATTTCTTTTTAAGGTTGGAAGGTTCACTTAATGGCCATAAACTATCTTCTTGATGACAAAATATAACATACTCTAAGATAGCTTTCGGTACACCCATATATAATGGAACTTGAGTATCTAATTCAACCGATCTTGTACTTAATGTAGTACGTTCACCCATCTTATTAATTGCAACCAATTGACCTTCTAAAGTTTTAAACGTATTCGTGGTCCGTTTAACTAATAATTGGATATTTCTCGTTACAATCATATTTAAACCATTAGCACTAGTAAATGCTAATTTCACTTGAGCTCTAATATCTTTTTCACCAGTAATCTTTGGATCATGAATAAAGACACCACCTTTACTATTTGGTGGTAAATCTCCCGTTGTTGCATATTTCAAACATTCAATAATAGTGGTCTTACCAGACCCATTCATCCCTACAATAAGGGTTAAAGGTGTTCCAAATTCAATCGTTTCGCGATCATTTGAATCAAAGGATCTGATACCTTGAATTGACAGTTTATAAACGGAACTCATATTTATTGAGTTATATCAAACTGATGATTTTCAATACAATTACCTTTGTTCAAGTAAAAAAAATACAGAAACAAATGTATTTCACTTTGTATTTAGTTTTACAGATATAGAACTTTTTTAATTGTGCTCATCGATTAATCTCATTTGGTGGCATTATCCAGTTTTTGGTGTCTATTGAAATATATATAGGACATTTAAACCCTAACCTTCAAGTGTAGGGTTGAACCATACACCGGGACATTCTCCGTGCAAACTGTCCCGAAGAGAGACAAAAGTCCCAAAACCGGACAGAAACTGCAAAAAAACAAAAAAAACAAAAAAAACATTTAAAAGCAGAGGAGAAGAAGAAACAAAAAAAAATATAAAAGGGAGCGACGAATGGGAGTTTTAACAAAATAAATAAAAGAGGAATGATTTTTATATCGTTTTAAAATATATGCAAAATAGACATTAAAGTTATCTAAGTAATACATTCATACAACGTTCAGCAGTATAATTTTATTAGGATTAGATTAATTATTATTAGTGATCTCTCTTAGAAGTATCAGTAGACAAATATTTCAACCTTAGTTCAGTTTATTTTACTTATAAGAATACTAGGAATAAAACATTTACACCTTTTAGCCTTTTTTTTTTAATTTATTTTCTTTTCTCTCTCTGTATTTTTGTCATCTCAACAGTGTAATATTATAATTGTATTGAACTTATTTGATAGACGGTAGAAACACACACATATTAAAGACTAAAGTGAAAAATAAGATAAAACAAAGAAGATCTTTAAAGTACAAGAGACAAAAAAATTAGTACCTTTTATTTTTCTTTATTTTCTTCATTTATTCAAAAAGAAGTTTCATTGTAGAAATTAGCTTATCTTTGACATAGAAATATTTTGGTATAATATATCGTATAATACACTTAACACAGTAGAAAAGAAAGCAAACAAAATCGATAGCTAACAAAATATGAGTAATATTGAAAATTTTGAAGATTTCCAAACTACTTTGGATTCATTCAAAGACTTAAAGTCTGGTATATCTGGTTCCCGTATTAAGAAATTAACTAGTTATGCACTTGAACATGTCGCAGATGAAGATCAATTGATGAACTCAATTATTACGTATGCTCGTAATTGCAGTAATACTCATAAATTGGGATCTCTATATATTATTGATTCTATCGGTAGAATATACCTTGATGAAGCAAGAGCTAAAGATCAATTTATTAAACCAACAGCTCCTTTGGGATCTTATGCTCATGGTGTTTACACCTTAGGTGAAGCTATACAAGAATTATTAGTAGATGGTATTAATAAAAGTGATGAAGATCACAAAGAGAAAATACGTATGTTAATTGATATTTGGGATAGATCCGGTCTATTCCAAAAAGGTTATTTAAATGCTGTAAGAGCCAAATGTTTTAGCATGGAGGCTCCAACAAAACCAACAACACATTTATCTTCTGTAACAGGTGACTCTGGAGAAGAATTTCCAGATGATCCAAAGGAGAGAGCTCAATATATCTTGTCTAACATTCAGAAATATGACACCTCAAAATTACCACAATTAGTCGTACCGAGTTTAATTACCTCTTCAGATCCCGTTGAAAGACAACAAGCTTTAGAACAACTGTTGAAAGAAATGAACAACAAATTCAACAACATTGATGAGCAAAATATTGAAGAAGAAAATCTTAACAATAAGGTTCATGTTCATAGAACCACAGAATATGGTAGCAGACGTGAAAGAGAGAAACAATCAAGAAGTACAAGATCTAGATCTCCAAGAAGAGATGAACCACAAGCTTATTCAAACCAAAATAGCAATAATATGAGGCATGGCTCTGACACTACAAACTATGGTGGTTTGAGACCTAACCAAAGTTTTGGTGCGAATAATCATCACTTATATCCAGAAGAAGCCAATGTCCCAGCTAACCCTCATCATCGTCCAAAACCAATTAGTTATGACAACACACTTCCACCTGATACTATTAAAGTATATTCAAGAACTTTATTTATTGGTGGTGTTCCAATGCATATGAAAGAATGGGATTTAGCTAGTTTATTAAAACCATACGCTGAAGTTCAAAGCGTTATTTTGAATCATAATAGAAAACATGCATTTGTGAAAGTTTATTCAAGACGTGAAGCTGAAAATGCTTTCATGAATTTTAACAGGGATGGTGCTTTAGCATTAAGAACCCGTTGGGGTGTTGGGTTTGGACCAAGAGATTGCTGTGACTATCAAAGTGGTAGTAGTAACATTCCACTTCATAGATTAACTGATGCGGACAAAAAATGGTCCGTCGAAGCTGAATGGGGTGGTACTGGTGGCCAACCTTTAGTTCCTGGTATTGCATTTGAAGAACCCGATATTGTAGTAGGTGAAGGTGTTTCGTCAAAATCTATGTCACAAAAGATGCCAACTGATAGTAATGCCAACGGACCAACTTCCAATAGCATGCAGTATAAAGCAGTACCTCCTCCTCCACAAAATATGTACGGTAACATGCAGCAAATGCCTCCTCAAGGGATGTATGGTGCACCTCCACCACCTCCACAATTACAACAAGGCCAAGTCGATATGTATAATAATAATATGATTTCTCAACCACCAAATGGATATCCACCACAGATGTCACCACCTCCTGCTCCTCAAGGCACAAGCTATCCAATGCAAGAAAACAATCCTCCTGTTCAAAATCAAAATAATGTTGACCCAACTGCTCAATTAAACTCTTTGATGAGTATGATCAACCAACAGCAGCAGCACTAAGTAGATTTAAAACTCAACAACATTCTTATGTAACAAATTATATACCTATGTATAGCCAAACAATAAAATATTAATCATGTTTAACCGATTATCTCTTTAGACTTCTGGCTAAGGTTCTATAATCCGTTTGAATCTTACATTGAGCAATAGCATTTTCTATTATTATCATTACCCGGTATGGTCAATTATTTATTTATTTAAGCTATACGGGCTTTTTCATGTTTTTAACTGGAAAGCGTGAAGTTAGAAAAATTAAAATATTGATTAAACAAATTTTGGTTGGCTTCCTTACTTCAGTTAAAGGGACGTCAAAGAGGTTCGAGAAGTTAGCTAGAATAAAATAACGAGCTTCTACTGCCGTATTAAATACATTCTCTCCCTAATTGCAAGTATTGAGGTTATTTCTGACACCATCACATATATAGATCGATAGGATGAGTGCTCCAACTAGGACGGCATTTTCGAAAGCAGTGCCAATAAGGGCAAACCTTATATTATCAAGAATCCCATTAGTGGTACCAGAACAAACTAAGATGGAGAAACAATACCATGAATACCAAAATGAAATAGAGAGAAGACTAATGTGGACATTTCCAGCATATCATTACTTTAAGAAAGGTACTTTATCTGAACATAAATTTTTAAGTGTTCAAAAGAAACCTACAATCAAGAACCCAGATGTTTGGTACCCAAAGGGTGTTCCTGATATTCAACACGGTAGAGAGAGAAGTAAAGCTCAAGAAGTTATTCTACCACAGAGTGAGAAGGGAGAAGGAACAAATATCACTAGACCTGTCGAAAAGAACCCTATAATAACTGCAGCAGATGAAGCTGGAGATATTTCTAGCTTGGAGAGACGATTGAGAAATACATTATATCTTTTGGTTAAGTATAAGAAATCTGGTTGGGATTTTCCTAAATTTGGAGTCAAAGATAGTTCTCCACTAGGTGTTGTGGCAGAAGATGGCCTGCGGATGATTGGTGGGGATAATATAAGTACATGGACAGTATCACAGAAACCTGCTGCTGTTATAAAGAGTAATGATGGTTCATACGACTTTTTTATTAAGTCTCACATATTAGCAGGTAAATTTGATATTACTAAAGATTCTAAAACAGACATTGCTGAATACGCTTGGTTGACGAGGAAAGAAATAGAAGAAAAACTAAGCAAAGAATATTTCCAAGAAACCCAACATTTGTTAACCAAATAAACAGTTTGTTTGTGATGGCAGAACTAACAAGATTTAAATATATTCGCAACATCAAAGGAGATGAAATGTGACAATTACAAATATATATATATTCATTTCTTAGACTTCTGATTATTCTGTACAAAGATATGTCATTGTTCTTAGAAAAATCATGTAAATAAAACATAAATAATGAATAATATAAATATTAGATGCAAAAAATTATATACAGTTTAATCATTACCATATCTTGTACCCCTTGGTATTTCGCCATGCCTTCTAGTATTGCTGTGTCTGTCTCTGCTTTTCATGACCTTTCTATTACTGGACCCACGGGTGGATTGTGGGGTACTTTTTATCGTATTCGAAGTGGTCTTACCATTACGAATTGCACTCAAGTTATTCTCGTACTTTACTTTCCAGTATTGTACTTCATCATCTGTACTTGCAATATAGTGTTTCAATGTATCTCCTTTACTGGATAAAAGACACCATGATCTATTTGGATGAAATTTAACAATCGCATCTGAACGTAATGATTCAATAGTGCTTCTTTCCAAAATTTTAAAATTATTCGTATCATAAAAGAATATTTGGTCATCACCAGTACAAATTGCTAAAATTTTTCCTAAATCATTAATATCTAACGAAACAACTGCAGCATCTAAATCTGTTATGACATGTATACTACATAGATTTGTTGTATCCCAAACAGAACATGTACCATCAGCACTACCTGCAATAATGAATCTCCCACATGGATCCATTTTTAAATTATTAATAGAACTTCTATGAGCGTCAATTTCAATGACTAAATCGAAATCTAATATATCATTATTTTGTTTAATTTGTAAAAGTATAATTTTGCCATTTTTTAATCCCAAAAATAAATAGGACCCTGAATTATTCCACGTAATGGATGTTATTGAGCTTTGATATTTCAACTTTTCCCAAAGATTAAACGTAAGATCCAATGAATATTCATTTTTAACATTAAATAAGTATAATAATTCTTGTTTAGTTGTCCCCAAAAGCCATTTACCGGTAGGATCATATAGACATTGATTAATCTTAGTCTTAAAACTTTTTACAAATAATGTCTTTAATTTAGTAATTGTCTTTTTATAAGAATCATGAGTCCAAATTAAAATTTCATTGGAATTGGAGGCTGCAGCTAAATGACTGATTTCTCGAGGATTCCAACTTAAACCAGTAGCTACTCTTTCAGAGTTCACACAATCACGCACATATGTATATTGAACTTCCTTAGAAAATTTACCACTACCAGTAGGAAACCTCCAAATATTTAAAGAGCCATCAACTCTACTATAGGCAAAATAATTTCCTGAAGGATGGAACTCTAAGGTAATAATTTCGTTTGGACTGATTGGTGGTGCAAAACGAGACTTAGAATGCGTCAAAACGTGGGTATATCTTTCATCCTCTACATCCTCTATGTTCTTCTTTTCTCGAGTCTCTAAAATAAATGCTTTGGTAATCTCATCTGAGAGTGGAACGGTCATAGAACGTGTCTCTAAAAATTTAACCTGATTATCACTCATTTCACTATATTGTTGTCTTTTGTTCTTTCGTTCTTCTTCTTCGATGGAATATTATACACCTATTTGGTTATAAACTAAAGGATAGCAGTAATTTTGTTTTATAATCAATCAATTGCCTAATATTACTGAATCTAATCCCGATATTCCTTAAGCTACTTGCGTCTGATTACTGACTCCAGTTTATATATATACATATTCCATTCATTCTCTTTAACAGAAATATCAACATCTGAAAAAATAATAATTTATAGCATATTCGGTTAAGCGTTGACGAGGTGAAAAATAACATTATTTCAACGACAGCGATGAGTATCAAATAACTTCATATCGTCATCACCTTACTAGGTTTGCAGCTGATTTCTACAATATAAAATTTCCCTTATAATAAGACAAAATAGTTAATCCAATTTTTCAAAATAGTTCTTAACCAATTTGATATTAATTACTATTGAACTACTTTAGGAAAATAGAAGAATAAGAGAAGATATAACAAGATGACTCCTGGGGAACCTAGGAAAATAAATTATGCAGCCTATCTGCAACGAAATGATAGTAATATGAAAGCAATGAAAAGGGGTGGTCGTCAATCTCCAAGATCTACAAAGAAGATAAAGGTAGAACTTGAAGATGGCCATAAATATATTTCAGATAACGAAGCATCCAGCGGTAGTTCAAGCGATGACGACAGGTTAGCTAATCAATTAACTAATAAAATAACAATGGATTTTTTAAATACACCGTTACTTAAGAATCTAGAATCCAAAAAAGAGACATCTAAAACCAAAAGCCTCGCGCCTCCAGCTAAAACTAGAGAACTTACAATGAATGACAGTAATGTAGTGCTAATCCAAAGTGTTTGTGATATACCGATATTTGAACAAGAGTCCCCGATTAGGAAAGCTGGTCTAATCCTCGATAGTGATGATAGTAGTGATGATGAAAATAATGATAAAAGTGTTAACTCGCTATCTCAAACAGTTAAAAAAAATAGGAAATCTATTAAGAAAGTTCGGAAGGGATTAACATTTACTAATTCACCACAAAGTATTCAAAAATTAAAGGACCGGTTAACTAAAAAATATCATTTGCCGTTGGTAATCTCTCTGAAGGATTTGAATGAAAAATGTAAACCATTTTTAAATGTTGCATTAGACATACTTGAAGGGAAGATTCAATCAGGTTATTATTCCAGAGCAAAAGAAATATTTAAGGAATCAACAAGTTCGATACTTTCAACTACCGAATTAAGACAATTGGATCTGACATATTTTTTTGCTGGTTACTATGGTTTAATGAGACAGTATATGGTTGGACAACTAATTGCTACAGAGTATAATTCAAAATTTTCAAGAAATAAATCTCCAGTGTTAAGATGGTGGGGTATTGAAGATTTTTGTAGATATGTTTTAGCACCAGAAGTATTAACAGCATTATGTATATCAGAGATGGGTATAGCGCCAAAGGAAGACGAAGATGACGAAGATGTGAAGGAAAGAGTATTTGATTTATTTCAAAAGACGAAAGAGTTTGGTCTACAGGTGGCTGATGTTGAACTAGATTAAACTATATAAACCTACACTGATGACTCCCCTAAGTGATAAAAATACCTTTGATATACACATCGCACTTAGAAATGGGGTTTTGATTCCAAGCAGTTAAAACAACTCTTATTAACTTAAACCACATCGTACACTATGATACATCATCTCCAACGAGCGCACCCGCAATTTAAAATATTTTCCTTGTATCTCTCTTTCGCTCCCGCAGAATAAATTTGGCCAGCGAAGAAAGAAAAATGATAGATGAAAAATTCTAATGGGCAATAATTGGTGGTAGTTCGATGAGGGAACCTAATAGACACTAGAGGGAAACACTTGAGAGCAACATCTCCTGTTCTGGTTAGTGCCAGGAGCCACTAAAGAATATACCATTTTTCCTTATATAATTAATGACATTTAATTTAGTCATTACCTTGCATTTATTTTTGTCTAGTTCATTTTACCTTGTAATTATACATAACCGAGCTATTGCAGTGTGTACAAATATAAAAATAACCGATTATTTAAATATAAGATGTCTCAAAAAGCCTGTTACGTGTGTGGTAAACTTGGTCACCTTGCTGAAAACTGTGAATCTGAAAGACTATGTTACAATTGTGGTAAGCCAGGTCATTTACAAACTGAATGTACTGAACCAAAGAGTCTAGATAACAAGCAATGTTACAATTGTGGTGAAACCGGTCATGTCAAGAGTGAATGTACTGTTCAACGTTGTTACAACTGTAATGAAACTGGTCACATCTCTAGAGACTGTCCAGAACCAAGAAAGCCAAGAGAAGGTGGTAGAGGTGGTAACTCTAGAATGACTTGTTACAAGTGTGGTGGTCCAAACCATATGGCTAGAGACTGTAGAGGTTCTGAATCCAAGTGTTACAAGTGTGGTGAATCTGGTCATTTAGCTAAGGATTGTTCCAACGAAGCTTTGTGTTACAACTGTAACCAAACTGGTCACATCTCTAAGGACTGTCCAAATTAAACCAAGTAATTTAGATTTGTTTGGTTGTAAATAGGTATTTTCATAGTTATTAATTTCCTTTTTTAATTTTAATCTTTTTAACTACTATGTTATTTCTCTATTTACTTTCACCTTTTTTATTTTATTCTATTTTGCCTTATTTTTGTTTAAATTTCTATCGAATTGATAGATAAGCTGAAGTTTTTAAAATGTAATGCCGACAAATTTATTTTCAAGAGATGTATTTTTAAGATATATTAAAACTAAAAGTTCGAAAATTGATCATTAAATCTGTATTTGTTTTTCATTATTCTTAAACATATTTTAGACCTGCTTGTGATACATTATAAAATATATGGATATATATGTGTAATTTAAAGATTTTTTTATTAATTATTTTGACCGATTTCTTAAATACTTTTATATACTGTATCGGCTAGAATTGCTGATTTTGCACATTCTTTTGCATTATGTACCCTGATTATATCTGAACCATAACCAATACTTAGAGCAACTAAAGATCCAGTAGCAAAATCTCTATCAATAGGGTTCTCATCTTGAGTTATTGAACCAATAAATTTTTTACGAGATGGACCTAACAAAAGTGGAAGATTTCTAAAATTCACATAGAAGGATGTATCATTATTGTAAACAGAATAGTTTTTCAATAATGGTAATTGTTTAATGATATCTATATTTTCCTTTAAATTCTTTGCGAATCCAAGCCCAGGGTCCAAAATTATTTGCCAACGATGTACACCTGCTTCTAAGGCCTTAGAGTACCGTTCACTCATCTCATATCCAATAATTCTAGTTAGGTTCATGGCTTTATGAGATGGATTGCATGCATTGTTATTAATATAGTCAATACTATTAGGTGGATCATATTCATCCTCAGTATTATAACTTGAGTTTTTAGTCATTGTAGATATATCACCACGGATGTGAGATAGCACATAAGCAACGTGAGGGTATTTGGCGACTGTATTAAACATATCTTCATCAAAATTTCCTCCGGATATATCATTAATTATATCAACACCAGCTTCAATTGCCCTCTCGGCAACTCTGGAACGATAAGTATCAATTGATAATAAAATTTGATCTTGAGGTATATCGTGAGAAGCTCTTATTGCTTTAATTAATGGAATTGTACGCTCAATTTCTTGTTCTTCTGTAGCTTGTTTAGAATTTGGTCTTGTGGAACAGCCACCTATATCAATAATTACATTATCATAATGTTTCAGAACATCGTCACATAAGGTCATAACTTTCTTTAATTGAATCTCCATATCGGAATAATTTTGTGATCCATCAGAAAATGAATCTGGAGTAGTGTTCATAATGCCCATAATATAAGTCGGGGATACTGTCATCCTGTTATCAGTTTTAGTTAAATCGTCATGTTTCATGGCAGTCTTGAATTTTAAAAATTTATCCTTTTTCGATAATGTTCTGTTATTACCTAAGGGAATAACTTTCCACAATATGTCTTCTGGTTTCTGTTGATCATATAATTGTTGCAAATGATCGACTAATGGTTCTATAGTTAATGGATGGGTTATATCTGGTGGTAATAATTCACATAAAGGTTCCAATACAAAAGTTCTCTCCAACATACGTGGATGAGGAATGATTAAATCTTGTGTATTAACTTGTACGGCATTACCTTCTGCATCATAATAGAGTATAATATCCAGATCAATAGATCTTGGTCCATTCTCAAAATCTTTTGTTCTTTTTAATTCGAGGTATTCAATTTTTTTGCAAAGTTTTAATAGATCGGCTGGTTTTTGGGACGTAGAGATTTCGATACAACCATTCAAAAATGGATTTTGTTCTTTAAAATACATTGGTTCACTTTCGAATACAGAAGAGACTCCAGTTACTTTAACATCTGGAGTAGCTTTCAATAGTTTCAGTGCTTGTGTTATGTAATCCATTCTATTACCAATATTTGAACCAAATGCTAAATAAGCTTTTGCCCAATTTCCATTATTCGTTGTTTTAATTTCAACATTTTCATTATTCTGGATAGTATTATATAATAATGATCCTTGCATATTGTCATTTGGTGATATATCGATGGATTTCAATGTCTTCAGTTGTTTCTCAGTTCTCAGACAACTTACCCCTACACCTTCTGTATCTGTTATTGCACTCAATTTAGTCACTCTAACAATAACGTCAAGTAATTCTACATGAGAAGCAGATGTTCCTGTTTCGATAGTTTGATGTATTATTTTGGCCACAGACTCAATTAATGCTTCCACAGTCTTAAAATCAGATTGTTCGACATATTTTACAACATTGTCAATGATTGGACGTGTATTCAAAGATGGATGTTCATTAGAACTTTTATTCTTTATGGAAAGATCTAATGATACTTTCTGACGTTGTAATCTTTCAAAGTTGAAAATACCAATGATAGCAAACAATTCCAAATTTCTAATGTTTAATGTTTCTATATCCTTATTCTCAATTACACTTTCAATGTCCTTTGTTCTTAAATGGTAATCTTCATTTTTTAATGTCACTTTCATTGAATCAATACTTTGGTTATATTTTTCACCAATGAAATTAAAGATAGATCTGGACAAAGTATGAACATGGCCCCAATTTTTTCTAGAGTTAACGTGATTTGTAACATCTCTACATAATACAGCATAATTTAATGAATATTTTAAATCATCTGTGGCAGAACATCTAGTAAAATCAGTCTTTATAGTCAATGATATTTTACAATGTTGTGGTGCGACTCTAGTCCATAGGTCAGGACCGCATATTGTCTGCAGTGAAAGATTATTAATATGTATCTGATCCATTCCAATATTATTCTTGGTGGCCATGCTAGTTAGTAGTCGTTTAACAAGCATACATGTATATGTATATGTATATTCTATTGAAAGTAAGACAAAAAAATGAACACGATAATACCTCACTATATATATATATATATGTGCGTGTGTGATGCACTACAATTATTTCGAAATTTTAAGTGCATGATTAATGCAAACTATGTTTGACAGATTATATAAATGTGAACTCTCTTTATGTAACATCTTATTTTTACTCTGTTTGTTGCTAATTTTTCACTGAAAGTCATCGCAAGGCCGTCATTTCCCGTTTATTGTTGTGCAACAATTTCTGTCACTACTTTTTTTTTCCACAGTTTTCTCTCTTACCCTTCAGTGCTGAAACAAATACATTAATAAAGAGAGATAGATCAGTTCGAATGAGCCATATTAATGTTGTGTCTGTGGATGAAGTTATTTGTAGGGTCTTTAGTATACTCACTCTATGTCCGCGGATATAGCACTGCTATTTAAACTTACTTTAGCCACACAATACATATATGGTAGAGAATAATAAGAAAGAAACGGTGTTTAGGATTTCGAATTAGTGTTGTTGTTATATAATTTGTGAATTGTACGTGTACAATCAATTATCTTGTTAAATATACATAAACCATCTTATAGTTACCAGAAGACCAAATTCATGGTTTCGAATGATTATAAGAACTATCATCGATCTACATAAATAAATAAGGGAATTCCAGAAATTATGGAATATAAACCAAAATCTGATGCTCTTAACAATTGCAGATGTAACACATGATACACCAAAATACCCCCAATAACACCTATATTTGTAATATATCCAATAAATTTAGTTATTTATCACTCTCACTCTGAAAAATTTACTTCGCTCACCGTTTCTTTGAGTTTCGCCGCTTTGTTTTTTCAATTTAATTGTAAATAAATAATTATACGTGCCGAGCTCTGCTTGAAATATACGTACTACTTAGCTAAGCTTAACAAACAGGTGAAACTAGGTAAATTAAAAAAAAAATAGCAGATCTGTGATGAGATAACTATCTTGACAATTTGAAAAGGTAAAAAGGTACAATATTTAACTAGTATATATAAATATATACACTGTTCCAACTTGTTGAATAGCTTTGCGTTTGGAAAGTAAGGACATTTTATGCAATTCGTTGTCAGAATATAACAGCTTGCTATTTTCCAGTTCATTTGTTTATTTTGCTGATCGCCCCTATAGGTTTTCATATTTTAAAAACAACAGAACTATACTATATTTTCACTAAAGACTGGTTTTTTGTTGAAAAATTGTTTATTAATCATACTGTTCAGTTATCTATAAGTCCAATACCAAACCGATTATGTCTCGTGACTCCAACGATGATGCTGGTCGTAAGAAACAATTGAAATTGATCTCTGTATCATTTAAAGAAGCATCATTAGATTCACCATCATTTCGTGCATCTGTTAATTTTTTTCAAACAAGAATTGAAATATTTGAAGATAGATTACAAAAGACAATTGATTTCTTTGATCATAAATATAAGTCATCTTTTGAAGATTTTCAAAGAACGAAAGAAATTATGATGTCTCAATTATTTCCTTCTCCAGTTATGTTGAGTAATGGTATGGTGGCTAATCAATCAGTTACCCCTGCTTTGATAGCAGAGTTTAACAAAGATTATAAATCATTTTCTGATAAATTATTAAAAGTTATGATTAGTGAAGGTAATTCACATTCAGTAGCATTGTTGGATTTTATGACTGATGCAATGGAACCTTATAAAAATTGTAGAAAGTCTTTTGAATATTACCAAAATAAATACGATGAAATGACCGAGAATTATTTAGCTATTAAAGTCTCGAATACAAATTTAGAACCGAGTGTAATTAAACGTGATGCAATGCAATTGTTTGAAGTAAGAAAAAGTTATTTAATTGCCTCGTTAGATCTTATTGAAGCAATGTCCTATTTGAAATTAAGTTTTGATAAATATTTGGCTGATTCAATGGCTATTCTAAGGACAAATAATATGTTTCAATTTAAGGAATCTGGTAGATCTATAGATTTATGCCCACAAGTTGATAATTATTTTGAAGATTATTTAAGTTGGGTAGAAAACGCTTTAGCTGCTGCGAAGACTTTAGAACCAGATATTCATAATGCTAAAAAATTGATTTATGAATATGCCCTTCATCAAATACAACCTTCTCAAAATTTAGATGATTATAATGTGAAAAGTATTAACACTATGACTTTAACTCCCAAACTACCCACAACACCATTAAAATCACAAGAGAAAAATGGATGGCTGTTTATGAAGACTACAGTTGGGAAACCTCCTAGAACGATATGGGTGCGAAGATGGTGTTTTTTACAGAATGGTGTGTTTGGGATGTTTTTATTGGCTCCATCAAAGATATATGTTGAAGAAACAGATAAATTTGGTATATGTTTAACTGGAACAAGATATGATATGGATGAAGATAGAAAATTTTGCTTTGAATTGAAAGTCTTTAATGGAAATGTAACAAAATCTAATTCTAATACCTCATATAAGACATTATCAGTTGTTCTTCAGGCTGATAGTTTGAAAGAATTGAAATCATGGTTAAATGCTTTTACTTTAGGAAGAAAATATATTGATACCTTGGAAAAAGGAAGTAATGAACATGAATTAGCATTTAAAAGATTTTCACCAAGATTTTTTGAGTTTGCCTCTAGTACAACAACTTCTGTAGACCAATTGATTACTACGTTTGATAATACAACTAAATCATTACTTGCAGATCTCAATGGTGCTTTCTCGGAATATGAAAATTTAACATTAGGTGAGGATAAACCTTATGAATTCCATATGGATATCACTCCAATCGCCACAAAGATGTCTCAATTGGCCATTTTATCCAATTATTGTTCTAATGGTAGTTGGTTCCCTAACGCAATCTTAGCCAATATTTGGGGTTCAACAAATTGGACTGAATATGCTTTGTTCAATGATATGAACCAAGATTCAGTCAATGATAATGGTATACCAAAATCTCTGACTATGGGTTCACCTGTGAAGTATCCACATTATTTTACTAAAGAAATGAGGGTTACAGATCTACAATTTAAGAGTGTCTTTTTCGCTGTTAATAGTCAATCCGTTTTGAGAAATGAACAATATGCCTTATTTAAGTTTAATTCATTTTGGTACCCAAATTCTAAACAAAGATTTTCCTCAATTTGTTATGTGACTGTGGACTATGTGTTTGCATATATGAATACTATGGGCTTCATTTGCTTAGTAAGATTAGATTTTGAAAATATTGTATCCATTGAAATCGATAAGAGTACTCCTAACAGGTTAATTGTTTACAATGCTAATGGTTTGCAGTATAAGATACATGTTGTCTTTGATGATTGTAGAGCAGTTGCAGCTAAGTTACAAATGCTGGTTGTTAATAATGCAGAAAAATCTATTAAGACACAAGAAGCTCTGTTAACTAAATTCAAACACATTGATGCTGAATATCAAGAAAAACGTTCTGTTGATAATGTTATTAAAGAACAGAAGAGAATTGATGATATATTAAATGCAGATTTATCACAAGCGATTAATAAAGAAAAGCAACAACAATTACAGAAGCAAACAGAACATGGTGAGTCTGTATTGACTAGCCGTTTGGTTAATAATTCATCCTTTTGGAGTATGGGTGAATCTGCTGAAAAGATCTTGGAACGTAGAAAAGCGATTCAAAGATCATACAGTGTGATGTATAGACACGATTATGATATCCCAAGTAAAGGTTTGATGCATATTTTGTTTGGTGATCAATCCAATGCCTTTCCTAGATGTCTTTTCCTTGCATATAACAATTCGAAAACAGAAAGTAATACCTATTGGAATAAAGAAACGGGTCCTGATGGAACTATATCGTTAGTTCGTAAGATTAGTTTCCAACTAAACACTACACATAATATATTTAATGGGAAAATGGGTCTTAAAGAAAGTAATTCAGACCATGTGGTATCTTTAAGACAAAGAATAGTTAAGATGGTAGAAAATAAATATTATGAAGTAGATCAAGAACCCATATTTATTCAATTACCATTCTGTCATCCTTTAAGAATCAAGATGAAGATAATAATTTTAGAACAATATGATCCTGAGAATCATGTAGCAAGTAAATTACAAATGCCAACTGCTGGTTCAATGTTAAATCTATTTTATAAAATTGATTATGTTGATCCAAAGACAGAAAATATAGTCACTAAGATGAATCCATTAGAGAGATTATTGAGACATTGGACTTTAACTTTTACTGGTACTGAATTTATGTTATTTAGAAAAATCATCAGATATTATTTGGAAAGAGTAGGTAAACATGGTAAGATTATAAAGACAATAAAATTATGTGGGTTATTAGGTATTACAAAGGATTCGATCATGGAAGAAAAAGAATCGTCTAATGATGGACTTAACATCGATGGAGGGAAAACTACCAATGATAATATAACTAGCAAATTTAATGCCGAAAATGAAAAAGAAATTGAAAATCACAATATGGTAAATTACTCATTATTTATATTGATTCGAGTCTTTATTAAGATTATATTTTACCGTTGTGCCAATATTTTATTATTATTGATAAGATTTGTATTTTGGATACTTATTGTCACGTGTAGAGCTTTCTCTAATATTAATAGGTTGTTGCTAGGTATATTAGTATTATCTTTTTTCATTAACCTTTTCTTAAGTGGTAGATCAACTGTCTCATATTGGACAGTTAAAAGAGCAGAGAGGACATTTCAAAATTTTGCAGAACAAAACAATAATAAAGAAATTGCCAAGCCAACAAGTAAATCTATTTTTATCAATGATTTAGATATTCTAACACGAAACTTAGCCACTGAACTTGATAATCCTGTCTATATGAAATTTAATGAGGATATTTCTTCGAAGGATAGTAGTTTCCAAGAGACAAGAACAGATCTGGCAGTTAGAAGAAATCAACTACTTGTAGAATTGAAAATATTACAAAGCATGGAAAGAGAAGTCGTACAAGGTAATTATAGAGAGTTTTTACTAAAAGAATTGGACAGTTGTAATACAGCTAAAAATGACCTACCTGGTGTCTATGAGAACGACACAAACTTACAAGAATACTGTTTATCATGTTCTTCTGAGTTGGAAAGATTAACCAAGTTACTTCTGTAACAGAATAAAAAGGAACTATCACATAAAATTATAGATACATGTATATAAATATACGTAGAAATAGACACATATAACTAATGATAATTGTAATTAGTACTTTCTCTATGTTCATGGTTTATTGCATGTTACTGTGAAACCCTAACTAATCTTTTTCTGTAGTAGTTAGCACTACATATATAATTAGTGTTAAATATGTAGAGAATCCCACAGAACAGTCTGCACGAAGAAAATGAAAAAAAAACTTCGCGCATCGCTGGGAAATGAAAAAATTTGTTCGTTTTTTTCGCAGTATAAAAGGCACAAAGAAAGTTTCACTTCTCAGATATTAGATGGTTTGACCTGTATTTTACTCTACTCACTGTCACAATTACTTCAAAAGGTTCTCACTACAGACCAGTAAGAATGTATCGATATTTATAGATATACTCTTATGGTGGTTTGTAATTATGACCCTGAAGTGAAATGTTTGTTCGTGTGTATATTGTACATGTAAGATTACATGTAAATATTCCGCAAAACATGCATTTTAAGGATTGGCATTTGTGGAAAGCATAATATGTTTATGATGATACTTTCTCAGCTCACTCAGATTATAATGATCGATAACTTTTCGTTTTCCAACATTCATCAAATAACTGATTCAACATTTATGCTTTTCGTCATTTGTTTTTCCTCACTTCATTTCAGATTCTCTTGCAATGTAAATTTTGTGATGTATATAATAGTTATATGTTGTAATTGATCGTATTTTAGAATTAAGTAATTCATGTCTACTTCAAAAATCGTTTCGAATGTGTATGGTGGAAACAGTGTCTTATTTTTCGTCACTGTTTTTTCTAATTTTTTGTTTGCTTGAATTTGTATGAGGACCGTAGTAACTGAAAAATTATAAACAGAATCGCAGTTCACCATACATATTATCGAACAGGCATAAAAAATGAGCAAGTGAAAGAAAGAACACATTTAAGAAACAAAAAGAGAAACAATAACTTTTGATGAAGTTTGTTCATAGTTGTGAAATTAACAGTTACAGACCTATAATTATCTTATAATGGAATCAAATATTATAGAAGAGAATCGTATTATCACTTCAATAGCCAATGATCCTATCTTTGCAAAAGATGACGTTGACACGAGGTCATCAAATTTAGATGTTAATCATATTCTAGAGACAGAATCTCAATTAAGTTCACAATTACATGACTTAAAAAATTTAAAGGTGTTAGCCTCATTGATCAAAGAATTTAATACAAACCTTGAATTATTAGAATTAGAAAATTGTTACTATTCTTTACAAAATTTAAGAAAAAAATTAAAAGAAAATAATGAAGCATTTATTAAACAAAGTTTCCATTTTCAAAAATCTGTTGTCACATACGTAGATTCTTTGCACGTAGAGTTTATTAATAAATTATATGATATTTTCAGTCAAGGGTTTTGGAACATTACAGATGACAGCATTAGATTTAGATCCAGTATTGAATGGGGAGATGAAAATTTCTTATTAGAACATGATCTCCTACTAGACCTTGTAAAACAGTTGTTCTGCCCAGGTGATACTTTGGATCTACATAGTTGGATCATCGATGATATGGAATTCGGTAATGATAGAGATACTGTTAGAACTAAGATTGAAGATCTACATAAGAATTATATCCTTTTGAATTCTTTGATAAATCCAATAAAGGATAAGATATTTTCCAAAAACGCATTGATTAAATATACCAAAAAAGATGATACTATTAAATTTATTGTTTCAGAATCTAAACCATCAGTTCCTATGTTATTTGACTGTTTCCAAGCTTTATGTGATTTTTCTTTAAATACAATCCCACAAAGTTTATTACCTATTTTGTTGAAAAGTATTGGAAAAGTATTGGAAAATGAGCTTTTAAAGTGTGTGAAGAATAATGCAGGAGAAATAATTGGACGTGATAATAAAGATTTGAAAGAACATGCTTCCAAGATAAATGACTTATTCAGTACATTATCTTCTAAATCTCAAGGAAATTGGAGTTATCATGCTCATACCATTAAAGATTTATTACAGGATAGACAACTCTATATTAATTTATTGGTTGATGAAATTTACCATAGAGCAGTGAGGGATATAAGAACAACGTTTGAGGATAAAGATGAAAATTGGAGAAAAACTTTAAAAATACAGTTATCACTGCAATCTGATAATGGAATTCAAGAAGTAAATACAACTTCCAACTCATCAATTGAAGAAAATAATGAAGATAACGACTGGAACTGGGATGCCGATGCTAGTTCAGATCATCAAAGTGTACATGATAAAACTGCAACATCTAAAATTGTCACAGAAGATGAAGATGATATTGCTGATGCATGGAACGAAGAGATCGATTTTGATATGGATTTACAAAGTCCGAAGAAGTTTATAGATAAATCATCAATTGAAACTCCCAAGAAACAAAATGAGAATGAGGATCATGAAGACGATGGCTGGGATGAAGCCTGGGATATTGGTGAAGAAGATGATGATCTTAAGGAGGAACATCATGCTGTAGGAACAGAAGGGAAATCTATTGCAACAGAATCGAATAACAATGCTAATCGTTTGTCATCGGATTCAATTGATGTAACTCAACTTCCAACAATATTTTTGAATATTATTAAAAAATTTCGCAGTGAGTGCCTGAATTTGGAGGACGACCTTACTGGAAATCCGTATTTAACCTACAAAATAAGTCTATTGCAAACAACTTTTTTTGCTATTTCAGTAGCCCATTGTACCGAAGAGTGGTGGAGTTTTTATGTTGATATGAGGGAAATATGGAAAAATGATAATACCAACTATAGAATCCAAGAACTTACAGGAAGGTACCTTGAGAGTAACCGATTACTTAGACAAAAGAGAGTTTGGAAATTGATCCAAGATCAATTTTCAGAATTCCATGAAAGAGAAAATGTTCCATCATGGAAAATGACATTAGAAGATTTACTTCCATTTGCACACAAAGAAATCATAACACCGTTATCAAATATTAAGGGTATAGAAGCAGAGGTCGAACTGTTACGCTTTTTAGATTTCTTATACAATGATTCTATAATAAGTGTGATACTAAAATGGGAGGTTATTTCAGAGAAAAACTCTGAGAATTTAGGAAGGTTAATCTCGTTGATTTCTGATAATACGGAAATTGAAATATTGAATAATTCGCCAAAATACAGAGAATGTAGAGCCAAGTTTGAAATGGTAGGAAGGTTTTTACCACTTCATCTTAAGGAAATCATGGATATGTTTTACAATGGTGATTTTTACTTATTCAGCACCGAAGAGATTGTTCAGTGGGTTAAATTACTCTTTGCCGACACACCTATTAGAAAGGACGCCATTTCAGATATTTGCGAGATTAGACAAGCTGCTCTTGACGATAATTAAAGTTCAAAGTTTAAAATAAATTGCCTACATATATATGTATATATCTAAGATTTATTAAGTAATCAATTTTTATTGTTTAGCACATTTTCTGTTGTATTTGGTCAGTATTCATTAGGTTACTTCTCTCTCTGTATCTCTCTCTGTCCAATAGCAAAAACCAAACTGACAAGAAAAATTCAAAGCCTAACAATTTTCGCAGACACAAAAAACAAAGGAAGAGAGAAAAGAATAGAAAGGGCAGCTGTCAAAAGAGCACCCTGAAATTAAATGACCGATATTAAAGACTTCAAGTCACTCGACAACACGATACATATATATATATAAGATAACACATTAATTTCAAGACAATTATATTAGTGTATTTCGAAATTTTTTTTTTTTTACATAAGTGGTAAAATTTTGTTTTGTATTAAGTCTCTTAAACTCACGCATCCCAGTCCTACATATTCCGAAATCAACATGTCAAGCACGACGCAACATTACCAATTCGAAGTTGTAATGACTTGTTCTGGTTGTTCCAATGCAGTTCAGAAAGCTCTAAATAGATTAGAACCAGATGTTTCTAATATTGATATTTCATTAGAGAAGCAAACCGTTGATGTAGACTCGGTTCTACCATACGAGATGGTACTCGAGAAGATTAAGAAGACTGGTAAAGAGGTTAAGTCGGGAAAAACCATATGATTGAAACTTGGAAAATGGAAAAATAAACCTAACTATTTATTTCGTTTGGTTTGTTGTATATGTCCGCACAGTATAAATATTCTATCAATATTTTTGGCAAATAGTCAATATTAAATTTAAAAGCTTTAAATATTCGCAAGTAACGTGATATATACGTAAATACGTCTATATCTTTTAAAGATTTTACGTTAGCTTAACAGCAGTAACTATATCATTCTGCATACTCCCTTTATATTTGTTGTTATTTAGGGCAAAAATATATATATATATACATATTTATATAATTTCAAAAGTTTCGTTACAGTTTATTCTGCTTAATAAGCCGAAAGAATTTATTCGATGAGCTCCCCCATTTAAAAAACTCTAGGCAAAGATAAATGTATACTTTAAAGAACATGCAAAAGACTATCAACAACTAAAACAACAAGTAACTCGGTAAACAATGAGTGAATTTGATGAGTTACTAAATTTGGAGGAAGAATTCTATAAAGAAGGTTACGATGAAGGCCATAATGAAAATTTGAAAAATAACTTCCTAGAAGGGAAGCAATTTGGTTTACAAGTTGGTTTTCAAAGATTTGTTTTGTTGGGTCAAATGATTGGAATTTGCGATGTATTAGATTCCTTGGATTTAAACAGTTCTGCATTAAGTAAAAATGTTCAAAGTGTTCGTACTCTTATTAGCCAAGTTGAAATGACTAACGATGACGAAAACGTAGAAGAATTAGGAAAAATAATGATAAAACTTAAGAACAAATTCAGAACCATTATGATAAGTTTTCAAAGAATAATGAAAAAGGAAAAAAGGGAACCATTTACCTTTGAAGTAATTGAAGAAATATCAAGGATAATTGCTGGTGAGGTACAAGGCTTTGTTGAAGATGAAGACGTTACAGACGCAAAAACTACTCAAGATCAAGCCCAAGCCTGGTAAAATAGCCAATTATTAATAGCATTCTTTTACTGCTAGTTGTAAAAGTATTCGCAAAAAACAAATAATCCTCATGACAATTTTGCATGCACGTCGAGCACGAAGAGAGTTAAGACAATTTTCATTGACTAACAATAAAAGTTTAATTATACACTGTTACAGTTTAAGGGTTTATACGCATTAACAATAGGAATTCTATTCATTTACATGCTAAAAGTTTGTATTGAATCATAAATCTAATACACATATATACGTATTTAAAATTAAAGTTTGTATTCTGTTTATGAAGAGCACAATTGATTAATTGCTCCTTGCAATAATGATAACTCATAATATGTAGAGACCTGTCTAAATATTTGGATATTTTTGGACACTTCATTAGGAGAGATAATTGTCTCCCATTTACCTGAACAATTACAATGTGCACTCATATAATCTTCTTTTATCTTATGACATTTTGCGCATCTTAAATCTTGATTGTAAAATAACTCTATTGAAGAACATAATTTCTGTATCAAATCTTCTTGTAATAGTAACTTATCAAATTTGTTTAGACAATTAGTACAAGCGAAGATAGCCAATGGATCATCCTTACAGAAATCAATATTAGTAATATAAGAACAATGTTCACACAAATGCCCTTCAATTGTTAAGCTTGTGCTTGGATTATTAAAGTTTGCCTCTTTAGCAAATTCTTTTATCTCAAAAATATGTAATAAATCTTTTCTTAGTCGACGAACCTCAATAATTGTATCACTGGATAACATCATAGCATGACAAATATATTTGACAAGTTCAAGGAGAGGATTCTTTAAATCTAAATGAGATCCAGGATGATCAGGAAATTTATAATCTTCTGCATATTGAGGATCCAAAATAAATTCCTGTTGATTACGGAATAGCTTTCTAATTCTCTTGATCAATGAATTAGAAAATATTTGAGTGAAATTGGCTATTATTGAATCGGGTTCATCATCCAGCGTGTCCGTTGATGGTAACTGTAATTGAGTAGCTCTCTGGGTACCTATTGTTTTTTCCAAATATTGATTCTTTGCTTTCAACATACTGTCTAATATAATAACCATCCAGTCATCAAACTCTGATTGAAATATAATTGGTAGTGTTACCTTAATTTGCCATTGCGAATATGCTTCGTAATTTTGGTTATCAGAATCGATGATTTCATCGCATGCAATACCACTGAAGTTCCATTTATCCATCCAAATTAAAATATTCCAATATCTTTCTATTTTCAAGTCAATATATTTAAACATTGGATTTGTTTTAATGGCCTTCAAAATATACTGACTATAAGCGTAACATGTCTCTGGTGTATATTTATTAACCTGTACCATCAATTTATTAATATCGGCATAGAAGACCTTTGACCCAAGTCCATTGAATTCATTTATCAGTTGGAACATTGATTTCTTCGTCAAGTTATGGATATGATATCTCAGGTAACCATCAAATAATTTTGAACTTGGGCTTTGAATCCAATTGATGAACATATTAACTAGTAAATCAGCTGTTTGATTTCCTGTTAAAGCAAGATCCCACCAGTCTTTCAACATCGCCTTTAAGACATTCAATGCATTCTCATTAAACGAATCTTGAATGAAAGCTCCTTCAGAGCTATCGAATCCAAGATCCATAGAATGAATATTACCACTACCAGCAAGATCACTACCTTCTGCTTCATTAATTAAGGCAGATCCTAAAATGGTGTTCACAATCAGATTGTTGATATTAACTTCCAATACCGCCTTATCATAAACATTAGGTATATTAATCTCTGGGAAAGAAAGACCGTTCATGATCCAAGAAGTTGTTGGGTCATAATCTTTTTGAATACCTGCATGATCTGGTAATGGACCATTCTCATTCCACCATAGGACGATATTTTCATTCTTCAACCTTCTTGCATACATGATGTCTATTACGTAGCTCATATTTTCTAATTGTAAGTTACCCAAAGGAATGTTACTATACTGAGAAACAGTTATCATATCATCTAACCATGACCCATTAAATAATAGCTGTTTCATTATTTTGGTAATAAATAAATTTTGCCAGTTAAGCTGTGGAAGTATAGTTTCGTTGGAAGACCACTCAATTATTGGAAGATTTTTAAAAAATTTTGATGAATTGATAATCTTTCTAACATAAGGAGATTGTAATAGCAACAGAAATTGTTGTCCCTTCTCTTCCCTAATCTTGGCCAAGTCAGAGGCCAACCTTCTCATTAACTTTTGATAATCAGAGAAATGTTCTGTATTAAAGACAGAGTCTTTATCTATATTACCATATCTTGAAAATGCCTTAGCATTATCCATTCTTTTTTCAAAAGATTTCTTGAATGTGGAGTTGATCAACGACTCACTCATATCCTGGGCATGTGAAGAAGGTTTTAGAACCAATACATTAATAGTCGGATTCCATGATCTGAAGATTACGAATACTTCATAACCAATATTTGTAGCAAAGTGTAAAACATATGATATATCACCTTGGTACCTTAACAGATATTTGTTATTATCTGACATAGTTAAACTTTTCATATCGAAACCTGTTTGCAAACCACGTCCAAGAGAACCCATGGCATTAGAATTAAATGAAACTGCAGATCCCAGCTCCATAATTGCACGTTGAGTGGGTGGAATTGTACTTTCGAATACCCCCAATACATTTTCGTCATTGAGAATACTTGTTCTATCCTCAATCTCATCCAAATATACAGACTCTGGTAATGTTAATTTGAACAAATTGTTGCTATTTGAACCAGATAACCCTGGTATATTTGGTAACGTTCCATTGACCTTTTCACTTTGACAGTGTTTAATTTTAGATAAAGGCATGGTGTCAGTTTTGAACTTGACATATATGATCTTCGGAATATTAAACTTCAAAATTTGTATTTTACCATTAATTAACACAAATACATCCAATACACCTGCTTCGTTTGTAGTTCTATATTGAATAACTTCCCAAGTCGAATTAGCATATGTTTCTGCTTGTTTCCTCATAACGTTTCCTAATACAGATCTTTCGGCAGGTCTATTAGCATTACCAAATAATTGCGTTCTACGTTTTCTATCTCTATCTTGCAGCTTCCATTTTATCTTCGAATATTCTAGCCAGGCTTCGTAATCCTCCTCTATAGATGGCATTTCTGTAGGAAGAACTAATGCGTCTTCTGTCTTAGTTTGGTCACCTCTTTTACGTTTACCATGCTTCATGGACTTCGATTTTGCTAATTTTGCGGTTTTACTCATTGCACCTTCCGTTTCTTCGTCAGGTCTAAATAAATCTTCAATATCTTGAACTTTCCTCATTCCTGGTTTATCCTCAGTTTTTGAAAAAAACTTACTAATAGATGATTGTTTAAACTTATCTTCTTTCATCAGGATTTTCTTTCTTAACCATTCTGGATGTTCCACCCTCGGGACGGGATTCTTAATATCTTGCAAAGCAGCTGGCATTGTGATTATTTTTTGAATTGTAGATCCAAGTCTTTCTCTATAATAGTCCCAGTCAATGATACTTCTGATGTCAAAATTATCCAATGAAGGATCTAAAGTCCAACGTCTTAGAAAAGATCGTTTAATAGGCAAATCAGAAGAAAATATAGCGACAGGAATTGCACGTTCTGTAACAGGAGCACCATGAGGTTTGTTACTAATAATATATTTACATTGCAAACCTTTGTCTTTAACCATATCTTCACCTAAGAACTGCCCTAATCGTTTAGCCGTGGTGATAGATGTTGATTTTTGACCCTCGTATTCCTTTAAAGTTTTTGACATACTTCTGTTTTCACAAATCAGTTCAATAAGATCCTCATCTTCAAGCATGGAACCCTTAGTATCTAAAACATCCAACCATCTATTGGCAACATCCGCTACAGCTTTATAACATGTCTCTAATGAATCACCTTCCAAGAAAACCTTAAAGATATCACTTTGAAAATTTTTGATAAGCTGTAATTCACCACGTCTCTTCAATTCAAAACCTTTCAATTCTGCCAAAGACCCATCATTATTAAACACAGCATATCTCTTTTTAATACCTTTACCTTCCTCTTTTGAGGTTGGCAATATCATAGCCTTGTAAGGGCCGTCAACTTCAAAGAAAATAGAGTTTTCGCTATGAGTTTTATATTTATGGGTGATTGGGTCCATTAGTTCTTGATACTGGTGATTTGTAAACTGTTGATGAACCTTGTAATTTAGCATGGAACATGGGTAAGACATATACAATTTCTTACCGTTTTCAAGCTTAAAGAAAAAATTCTCTGGAAACGATTTTGGTAAGATACACCAAATACCATCAGTATCCAATTCTAGGGGTCTTCCTAATCTTTCTACTAGTGCTCTTGCCATCTGAATAATGGTGGCACCAGTAAGACAGGTAATACCTGCCATCTCCATGGAATACCAACGTGAACCTTTTCTCATGACATAACCGTAAAAGGAATTTAAAATAACTTTATGGGCTAATTGTAAAGAATCATATAAGATAGCCATCTTTTTAGCTTCATCTTTTGCATGATGATCAGATGGATCGATCGAAGATACCTTCCCCTTCCATGTCTTTGCAAGACCTTTAAATTCGTATCTTCTGTCACGAAAGGAACGCACTGTATTAACATAAAAAGGATTTTCACGTTGACATACAATAGCCTCTCTTTCAACAATTTCGGAAATTTTAGTTCTGTGATAAACCTTCTTGGAATATTCGGTTAGACGTTTCTTAATATGTAGTACTTGATCAGTATAGCTCAATTCATCGAAAGTAAGATATGGTTTTTTTGAATATTTATTTTTATTAGGGAATGTTTCATTTTGCAAAGCTCTCTTTATCATATTATATTCATCCATCTTAGCTGGATAGTATTCACCTCTCCATGCCCATTTTAATTTTCTCGCACAAGTCTTACCAGGTCTATTGAAATCACAACTAGCACAATCTCTTTCAGTTTTGATACTATCTGGTTGAAGTCTATTTGTTGCCATGATATTTGGGTACATAGATGCGACATCGACGTGGTAAATCAACGGATATTCATCTCTTTTAGGCTCCTCTTTCAATTTCAGTAATTCTTCGGTGATTTGGTCTTTAACTTCATCAAAATTAGTAACATCTTCAACTTTGGCATGGCTTTCAGTTTCAATGGAAAACTTTAGAGCGTTTGGCAAATCATTTAATAGTTCATCAATTGCAGTTGGATCGATTTTAAAAGAACTTTTAATATCACTTCTAAAAACACCTGCTTCTAAGGATTCCACATGACCACCCACATAAGTTTCTGTTTCTAATAAATGCCCATCATAAAATCTTTCTAATGGATCTGTATGTTTATTTGGTAATAAAATATTTCCTTTATAGGCTTGAACCATAAGAAGCATCTCACATAATGTACCGGTCCCCTTTCTTAACACTTCATCCGGATTTAATGGAATAATAGTACAAAGGGAAAAAATGAACGGATGAACATATTTCATATAAAGATAGTATGTGGCGACAGCATCAGATACAGAATACTCTGATAATTCTTGAGGTTTTTCGTATGCATAAGGGGTCATTAATTCTGGGTCTAATTCGATAGGGTTATAACCCAACTTAGCTTGAGTCACGGCTTTCAAACCTTGCGAACCTTGTGGAAGATAAGAATCACGCTTAACCCAGCGGAAACAATCCAAATGACAACAGTATGAAGATTTATATTCACCTTCTGCATCAGGTGCAAACCCGATTTCATCATACATATTTAATCCATTAATTTTTGCTCTTGTCTCTACGAATGGCCAATCGAAGAAATCACCATTGAATGTAGATATAACAGTAGGCCGCACTTCTCTAATATGTTCAAAAAATCTTTCCAATAATGCTAATTCATCTGATTCGTTAAAGATTGTAAATAGACCTTTATATTCTGGTTTGGGAGTATATTCAAAATCTTCTATATCTTCCGAGATAACCTCTCTATTCGTTATCAGATAACCTTCACCGTCAATCATGTACGATATCATCATAATTTGATCCACTTCTGCAACAGGGAACTTTAGTGGTGCTTTTGTGGTTTCAATATCGAACGCCAATACTACTGGATCAGCGAATGCAACTTTCTCGGTGTATTCTACCAAACCTTCTGAACAAACTTTGTACCATTTTCCTACTCTAATATCTTTATCAATAGATACACGTACATGATAAGGTACATCATATTCTCTTATATCTTCAATGTATCTTTTGGCGTCATCAGCTGAGATTTTTTCACTATTCAATGAATTTTGTTGATATGCATTTTTATAAATATTACGTTGTTCATTAGTTGTTTTATTTTCTGTTAGAATTGGTCGAAGTAATTTTCTTGCTTCGAATAATTGATTGGAGTTTATAAAGGATAATTTGACTAAAGTCTTTTGTAAACCTAATAAATGATTATCCATGGATAAATCTTCTTTTCTAATGACTTCTATACTTTTCAAACATGATTCAAGATATTTCTTCAAAAATTCTTCCACATCATTAGTTTTATTATTTTCTGAAACTGCAATGAAAAAATAAGGATCATAAACTACAGTAGATTTAAAACTACCACCTTCTTCATCTAAGAAATAAAAATCTACCCCAGCGACGCTATTAAATCCTCCGGTAGATGATGTTGATGATGAAGAATCCTGACTAACCACAGTTGGATGCATATTGACTAACCAACCTAAACGTCCTGGTACTTGGTCTAGTTTCTTTGTATCTACTCTTCCATTAGATTGCGGAGCAATATATCTATCGAAACCCATCAATGAATCGATCTCATCAGTTTTGTTTGATTTAAGTATTTGTTGTGCAGATAATGCGTAACTATTAGCCATATTTGAAGGGTTCTGATTCTTAACATACCTTGCAGAGGTAGAACCTTGAAATCTTTTAGACATGACGATTAAAATATATGGTAACTTTTATTTTCTTTCTTTGTTATTGTTTCGAAGCAACTTCTGTATCTGTTTTTATTAACACCTTTTATCTATATATTCACAGCGAGAATCCAACAGACTAGATGCAATTAACAAGAGTTTAACTCCTATTATTTTCTCAATTGTTATTTTATCCTTTCAAAAATAGGTTCAATTAATATAATACTCTATTTTATTATATTAAGATAGTAGTTAATAATTAATAAGTGGGAATATATGGCAAAATTCTTTTCTTCACTCAAAACGCGTCAAGGTTAATTATAGCTGAAAATTAACGCGTAAAAAGAAATCGTTTTGAACGATTTAAGGACAAACACAGATGAATGGAATCATTAGTTTCGAAGAATATTACATGAATCTTTATCGTGTACTACAATCAATCGTTAAAATACACATTTCTATTGTGCTGCAACTCTGATAGAAAAAAAATATTCAACAGTAGTAATCACCACAGCGAGATATAATCTAGCAAGAATATCGGAAGAAAAAACAAAGAAACTACAAGAGTGTCATCGCTCTAAATATTGTAATATAATAAATCAGAGACAATTCCATGTCAATACTATAGCAACGAATACCCTGTTTCAAATTTGTATATATAAACATATCTATCAAACCATTTGCCCAGTCAATATATATAAGCCTATATATTGCGAAAGAGAGAGTAGAGCCTTAGCCAAAGCGAATGTGGAAATTGGAATTTGAAGAAGAAAAAAAACATAAAAAATTGTTTGATCGAAGCGAAGCGAAATAATGCAAACAGCCACCTTGAAATAAAAATTGACAGAACTCTAAATTACAATTTTGAATCAAATAAATGCATATAAAGGTTATACTACCGAATTAATAGATATATTTGATTAATATTTTAAGAAGTGTTAGTTAATTCCAAAATATAAAGTCCGTGTTTACTATGTCTTACAATCCTTATGCGTACACCGGAAATGCAAATGAAGTCGTAACTGACCGATTTGCTAATAACAATAACCAACCACAACAACATGGTTCATTCAGTGGACCATCTAATGGCTATGATAACAATTTCAATGTTCAACCAAACATGGTTCCTCAACAACAATCACAGCAGCAACAACAACAACAACAACAACAACAACAGCAACAACAGGGATTCCCATTCCAAGATCCTCGTAATACGATGGCTTTCCAAATTGGTCAATCTGCATTTAATAATTTTATAGGACAAGATAATTTTAATCAATTTCAAGAAAATGTTAATAAGATGACAGGTTCTTCTTCATCTTTATCTCATTATTTCCAAGTTTCTACTGTTTACGTATTAAATAAGATTAAGCAAATTTTATTTCCTTTCACTAACAGTAATAATTGGCAACGTATTATTGATAACAATTCACAATCAAATAATGGTAATGGTGTTAATTTCTTACCACCAACAGAAGATATTAATTCGCCAGATCTTTATATACCCATTATGGGTCTTGTAACATATATTCTTATTTGGAATACACAACAAGGTTTGCAAGGTTCATTTAATCCAGAAAATCTTTATTACAAATTATCATCCATTCTAGCATTTGTTGGTTTAGATTTATTCATTTTAAAATTAGGATTATATTTATTAGTAAATACAAAATCTCCAACAACAAGTATAACAGAATTGATTTGTTACGTTGGTTATAAGTTTGTTCCATTAACTTTAGCACTATTTTTCCCACAACAACCATTATGGATTTCCATCCTCGGTAAGATGTATCTTTTCATTGCGTTTGGTGTCTTCTTATTAAGATCTGTTAAATTTAACTTATTTAATAATTCTAATGATGATATGGGTAGTGTTAATAAAGCTACAGTTAAGAAATGCAATTATTTCTTATTTGTTTACGGTTTTGTTTGGCAAAGTGTATTGATGTGGTTAATGGGATAAAACTCATTTAATATATACTTATATATTATTACTGCTTCAATTTTATGATAGACCTATATCTATATCTATATCTATATCTATATCTATATCTATATTTTTCATTAAATTGATAATAATCAAAAACAGCAATATTTATAAAACCGATATTAAAATTAATCAGAAATTGAAAATAAAGGGACAGTTACTTAAGACTGTTCATTCTATTCGTATAAGGATCAAGAATATCATCGATAATAAGAAAAACAAGCCCCTAAAATAGTTATTTACCCAATGATCCCTTACTTCTTCTATTTTAATAAATCGGTTGTTTCGTATAAGAGACAGGCATATATTTTCAATAATCGCAAGACATAATACTGGCAATTCAACACAAAAAGAGATACAATCAATACAAACAGTAAAATATAACTACCTTTATAACAAAAGGAGATAGAGAGACAGAGTCTCTTTACTTATAAAAATAATCTCAAGTCTATTCATCCTTCTTGGTCCTCCCTACGACTCTACGTGCACGCCTATCTCTCTCTCATGACAAATACCAGCAAGCGAAGCTGAGCTGAGATGTTTTTTTTTTTTCACTTTATTTTCTTTCCCTTTCCGATAGTGACAAGAACCAGAAGAAGAAAACAAACTGGAAATATTTCAAAAATTTACGTGTAATAATCTCCCGCATTTAAATGGGCAGAGGAAGACAAGTTTGGACAACTTTCTTTATCAACCCTTGCATTACTCAATATTTGTGAACAACTATGTGTGATCTCTTTGGGAACAAAAAAAATATTGTCTGCATAAAATAATTTTATTAGTAACCTGCATGAGCAACTTAACTGCTCTCTTTGTTAGTACCCTGTAGAAAGATATTCTTTTCTTTAGTAGGAAGCTCAGTAAGACAAACAAACCTCTTAGAATACTCTGTCTTTTAAAGAAGGCGGAAGAAGTTTCGATTGTTACTCTCTTACTCATCGGAACAGTTTCCTCGGATGGTATTAAAATAACTATTACTGTTGTTACTGTTACAGTCTAATGCCCCACTAATATTACAGATATTCATTCAGTCTCTCTGAAAAATTATGTGTAGAAGTTAATATTCTTTAAATGCACTGTTTTTTTGGTAGGAACCCGTTACTGAACACCAAAATATTTTCGTGATCTTCTTGCTCTTTTTTTTTAGTACTGCTGTTTGAGATCTTTGTCAACGATGTTTATATAAGGTAAATTTGCATCAATGTTTTTTTTTTCTTTCTTGGTCAATGATGAATATATATTAAGAATATGTTATGTTTTTACTATACTGATTATTTTTATAAACAACTTGTCTTGAACTATTAATCTTATTTTCTCTTTGTTTATTAGAGTTATTATTTTATTGATAAAAGATTATTGGATTGAATCAGAATTTAGTATTAAAATAGATCATCTATAACAACTAAATATACATATTCACTAACCGTTTTCTATTAAGTGAATTGAAAACAAGAAGAAAATATCCAAATATACACATATATACTACATTAAAAAATGGGTTTATTTTCAAAGAAAAAGGAAGCTACACCATCAATTCCGAAGGAGGAATTGATCCCTGCTGAGAAAATGATTAGAAAACCACCTGCTAAATATGGTAAAGGTGAAAAATTGAAAAAAGTCACCGATGAACAACAATCTGCTTATAAAGAACTTTTGACTCATTTCCAAGATGAAAAATTGGAATTTCCTATTGATACAAATGATACTACTGGAAAGAAAAGACCACTAAGTAGTTGGGAAAAACATTGGTTAACAAGAGAATGTATATATCGTTATTTAAGAGCTCATAAATGGCATGTTTCAAACGCTAAGAAAGGTATAACCGAATCAATTATTTGGAGAAGAGAAGTTGGTATAAGTCATGGTGATGAAATAGAAAAACCTTTAACTGGTAAAGATGTTGCTATTGAAAATGAAACTGGTAAAGAAATATTATTAGGGTTCGATTATGATAGAAGACCTTTATTCTATATGAAGAATGGTCGTCAGAATACAGAATCTTCATTTAGACAAGTACAACAATTGATCTATATGATGGAATCCGCGGTAACGTTGTGTCCACAAGGTGTAGAGAAAGTTACCGTTTTAGTTGATTTCAAAGCTTACAAAGAACCTGGGATCATCACAGATAAAGCACCACCGGTATCAATTGCTAGAGCTTGTCTAAATGTTATGCAAAATCATTACCCTGAAAGATTAGCTAAATGTGTTCTGATAAACATTCCATGGTTTGCATGGGCTTTCTTAAAGATGATGTATCCATTTTTAGATCCAGCTACTAAAGAAAAAGCTGTATTTGATGAACCATTTGAAAAATATATTGAACCAGAACAACTAGAAGCACTATACAATGGTAAGTTGGATTTCAAATATAACCATGAAGTATATTGGCCTGATATGGTTTCTAGCCTTGACGAGATACGTCACGCTGGTTATGAAAGATTTTTGAAATTTGGTGGTCTTATTGGTTTAAGTGAATATGATATTAAAGGTGATCATGATGAATTGATATATCCAGTTGATTTTGATCAAACTCAAGTGGCATAGATAACAAAATGACGATGGTGACGACAATAACGACTATGATAATGATAGCGATGATCAGAAGATATTTGAAATTGGGTCTTTTGATATGCATATTAAAGTACTAAAATATATTAAAAGATTATAAGATAGAATTACAAGAAGGAAGTGAATGATACTACTTTGGTTTATAGACTCTTTTTTTTTTCTTAGATCATTGTCGCTCTTATTTGAAATTTCTGACTCTTGCGGTTCGATGTAATAACTTTCGGTAGCTTAACAATGCACGCATATATATACATATGTACATACATACTCATTAAAAAACAAAACAAAAAAAAACATATAGAACATTATACTGTCAACGAATCGATCATCTAGAGTATACTGTTTAATAGAAATATGGTTAATATTGTGATCGGTATGAAGCCGGCTGGTTACCCACAATTCTCTTGCTTTACATAGTGAAGATCAATTAATGTTAAAAGAATTATATAGGATTAATTATAGATTACACACCCCATCTTATTTGTTTGATAATGTTATGGATTCCAAGAAACAAAATATCCAACCCAATATGTTAATTCTTTGTTATATAATTAAATCTGTTCTATTTTGGCTGGGTTTAAAATAATTCAACATGCTGGACTTTTTTCATGTTTTAGTCTCGGTGATCTTTCCCTTCACTGTGCCTCATTGAAAAAATCTATATATGTATATTTCGGTGAGTCGCGGTAACACCCTGTGGAAGGCTGGGCTGAGCTGTTGCGTTGAGCTGAGCGCGAAAGAAGGGCACGGTTTTGTTACTATTGCCGCGGGCGAGAAAAAAGAATTGCAATGGCTGGAAATGATTGTATGATCGAGAGAACGTCTCGTGTCAGGGACTGCTAACAAGGATTTAGACGTCTTTAGGTAATAATATCATGTATGTTAATCATTATTCTTTTGAGAAGGAACTTGTAATGCTCAATATGCTTGTTTATAATGATTGATGGATTGGAATTTAAAAAAATAAAAAGAGGGCTTGGCTTGTTTCCTCTTGGAATCTATTAATAAAAATCAATTTTATCCAAACTAGGTAATAAGATGGTCTGTTTTACATGCATTTAACCAGGCTTCTGGCTTTAATCTAGTTAAAGCGTTGATAACCCATCATTAATTATAAGAAATAGATAAATTTAAAAGTATATAAAGGACCATGTATTGTAGTACTTGATTTAAAATTGTAATTGTAATTTCCATTTATAAAATAAAAAGATATCAATATATACAAACCAATCCAACCAAATACATATATTAACAGTCATACAAACATATCAAACAATGAGATCTTCTACTTCTGTTACTCTTTCCCTATTAGCCTCTCAGGCCCTTGCTTCTTCCGGTACTTTAGACTCCACTAATGAAATTGCTGTTGACTCTACCAACAATGTTGCTGCTGTATCTGATATCTCTGCCGCAGCTGTTTCTTCTGCTTACAATGAAGATGACGAAACTGTCATTAGTGCTACAAATTCAGTATACCAAACTAACGCGATCGCTTATTCAGTCGTTGAAGGTACTATTGCTGCCACTGCTTCTGAATCCACCATTACAAACACCCACAATTCTAACTTAGTTCAAACGTCCAACGTTGTTAGTCAAGCCGCTCAACAATACGCAGACCAACCAAGTTATACTGTTGTCACCACTGATGAACAAGGCCGTACTACCACTGAATACAAATGGTGGGTACCTGCTTCTACCGCCACTGCTGCTGAACAATCTGTCACCGATTTAGCTTCTGAAGATGCTACCGCTACATATTCTGCTTTATCTGTCACTATCCCAACAACAGGTGCTACTTCCTCTGCAATCATCGACGATGATCTATCTAGTTATGATGCTACTGCCACCGAATCTGAAACGTCTACTAGCAAATGGGCATATGGTCCAGTCACTACCGTTACCTCTGTTGATGCTGAAGGTAACGATTATACTTCTACATTATGGTGGGTTGCATCCACCACTTACACATGGGCTGGTGAATCATCTGTTTCCTCTGCTTCTGCCGATGCAGTTTCTGCTTCTGTCAAGACTATTAAGAGTGCATATGTCACAACCTCTAACAGTAAGAGAGTTACACGTACATCAACTTATGAAACTACTATGTTGAATAAGGCTAAACAAACTGCAAGCACAAACTCTACAGCTTCAGTTCATTCCAACAGCACTAACGGTATCGATCAATTATCTGCCCTTAACGGTCTAAAATATGTTGCTTTAGCTGCTTTCTTACTATAAGTTTAAGAAAATATTTTCACAAACACCAAGAGCCAACAATTTATATTCATAAATAACAAGACATTTATTGAACAGACCTTTCATGAGACGGTCCTGTTCCCCTGCATTTCTTCTGTACACTAGATATATAGACTTACATAACTAAATTATAAACATTTACAATAAAAAAATACTTTCGAAACAGCATAAACTTCATGTATCATTTCTCTTCTACAGAAATAGTTCTCTTCAAAGTATGCCTTTCAGCTATTACCATTACTTATATTAACCCCTTCTTGGTAATGATAATGCCATTGACGTTAAGAAGTGTACCACATTAACTCCATAATATATCAATAATATATCAACATATATATATATTTCACACAATAAGCCCGGAACAGGCTGTATCTTTCTTCCGAGAAATTCTCGTTCTCCGTTTTTTCATATATAAAAAGGATACTGAGATACTATGTATGACTCTAATACACATACTTCGAAGATAAAGAAAGAACAGCTTCTCGACTAGAATAAATAGATAGCTATATTTTTTGTTATAGATATACTTGTTGAGCTTGCGAAGTGATCCGGTTAGTTCCAATTAATATATTAAGTAAAACCTTTAGTGGAAGGAAGTGCGCTGGTAACACTCTCCATTTTAGAAGATATATCCTCAACCCCTCAAGTTTTCACATTATTAGAATATAGAATCAGATAATTCTGATATCAAGTGGGCTCTAATTATACTTTAATTAAGGAAATACTTACCTATTATTTAGGAAATAAGAAAACACTGACTCTTTGTTATTGATATTCCTTCTATTTGATTAGTTTTGTATTATTTTGGAGAGGATGGTTCTATTTCATGCTAATACTCACATTTTTCATAACGATTTTAATTCAGTGACTAGTGTAGTATTTAACAAATATCCTAACCCATATGCAACACACGTATTATCTATTGATACGATATCTAGAAAAGTAGATGAGAATGGAAATCTTCTAACAACTAGGCTTATTAGAAAAAAAGGTAAATTACCTAAATGGATAGAATATATTGTAGGCTCTAGAATTACTGAATCATGGATGATTGAATTCACAATGGTAGACCCAAAGAAGAAGATTATGAAAAGTTTTAACAGAAATATTGATCATGTAAGATTGTTACAAGTTGAAGAATATACTACATATCAATATAATGAAAGCGAAAAGTATACAGCAGTGAATAGTAAAGTGAAATTCACTAGTGGATTCCATGTAGGAATCAGAAGTAAAATAGAAAAGATGTCGTTGAGTAGGTTTGAAAGTGGTGTTGAGAAGAGTAGATTAGGGATGGCTTTAGTAATGAAAAAAGTAGAAGAACAAAGAAACCGAAGTTCATTACAAGATATAATATGACCTAGTGAGAGTTTTAGAGGACCTAGTTCTGAGTTACATAAAAACGTTAGATTTGAATATGAATATTCATCATTTTCTTTTTTTTTTTGATTTTTAAAAATCCCTCTATTTCTCTCTCTATGTGTCTCGAATCTGCCTCTGTATATACTACATACATTCCATTTATTCATAACATTATTTATTTATATACTATAGCTCTGTCTAAATATACATGACAGCATTAGCTCATATAGTATCGTTGATTAAAGAATAACATTTACAAGAAAATGGATCACTTATTCTCTTTTAAAATCGATTAAGTGGCTATCGTCATTGCCATTCAGTTTACGGGTGTCATAATCCGTCACTGTGCACGGACGCACCTTTTTAAATTTTTCATGAATTTCAAACATTTTTTCAACATTTCGCAATATAATGTGGACAACTGAGTTACTGAAATTTAATATTAAACTTAATCCATCGATGGATTAAATGATATAATATTGGTATTCTTGATACTCATTTATTGACTAATAGTGTTTTGTTAGAAGGATAAATAATATAGTCATAAAAAGTACACTAATAAATATACATCATGTCTTGGGACGACGAAGCTATCAATGGTTCTATGGGTAATGACGATGCCGTGTTAATGGATTCTTGGGATGCGGCTGGTGATGATGAACCAATAATGGATTCATGGGATACTGAAGAAACTACTGAGAAAAAACCAGAGCCAAAGAAGAAGGAAACCAAGCCTGCTGTGAAGAAAGCTGTTAAGGGTAAAGGTAAGCAAAATGGTAACGAGAAAGTCCTGATGGAAATTGACTCATTGGATGAAAAGACTCGTAAAGAATTGATCAAAAAGGCCGAAATGGATTCTGATTTGAATAATGCTGCCGACCTATTCGAAGGCCTAGGTGTTGCTGAAAAGCATCCAAGAGAATTGGCTATGGAGAGAGATGCTGAACATGCATCACTTCTAAAGCATGCTATCATGACTAAAGATACCCCATTCGAACAACATCCTTTAATTGCCAATGCTGAATCAAAGAGAGATTACCAAGATTTGAGAAAAGCTCTTGCCAGTGCTATTATTCCTCTAAATGCGAAGTCCTCTCTAAACTACTCATCTTCTTTGACTATTGATTTAATCAAGGATATTTCTAAGCCAATGTCTATCGAATCTATTAGACAAACTGTTGCTACTCTAAATGTCTTGATCAAGGAAAAGGAAAAGGAAGAAAGACAAGCACGTCTAGCAAAGGTTAGAGGTGGTACTGCCACTGGTGGTGCTGGTAAGAAGAAGGCTAAGGGTAAAACTAACTTAGGTGGTGCATTCAAGAAGGATAATGATTTCGATCTTGATAGTAATGACTATGGTGATTTCGGTGATGACGATTTCATGTAAGAGGAATATGTCAATAATTAGAAATTATTTTTTGACACTAAATGCATAGCAGAATATAGAAAAAAAAATTAATTAACATATGTAACAAAATAGAAAATAAGTACAAACAAATAAATCATATATTTGCTTCAATACTATTTATATTTCCAAACGATTTAATAACATTAAAAACATCCATTTATATTGTTTTTCTTTTCGATATTTATATATGTGTATATATATTGCCAATACCTTTGAATGGTAAACAAACTATTTACGTTATGGATTATATACTATGCAAAATGGGATACACTTATTACGGCACGACAGGTAAAAATAATTATGTGCTAAAACATTATATTTTCATGTATGATTTATTTTCTATGCAATTTCTTTGTTTGATTCTTCATGTCCTGTTGAACTTTCATGCAAGCCGTGACTATTAGACTCGTTTACATGCTCTATTTTCTTTTGACGTTTAATGATTTCAACATAATTATAAGGTATGTAACCCATGGCTCCTCCTTTCGTCCTAACTTTCCACCATTCAGATTGCTTCCCAAATGGATCAGTTTTAGTCAAGATTGCCATTAAATCACCCTTCTTCAATGTAACTTCTATTTTGGGATTTTCGGGTATAAAATCAAACATTGCCCTGGCAAACTCCAATTTTGATGGATCAATAACATCTTCATGATCATTTCCTGTAATTCCATATTTTGATACTTTCATGTCATGTACCCTCTTAATAAGTTTATTTAACACATATGGGAATCCAAAGACAGCCAAGAAAAATACTATCAAAGGTTTGAGGGACATATTCTTTTTCTTCTGTCGAGTTTCACCTGTCTTTGTAAAATTTGTAAACTCTCCAACTAAAGGGCTCTCACCATCACGCATTGATCTTTGGGTTTTCGTGTCCCTTCGTTTAAGTATTTTTCTCAGAAGTTTTACTACGTTAAAGACTCCAAACATGCCACCTAAAATATCTTTCAGTTTTGTAACTTCCTCTGCAAATGATATTAGGGTAAAAAAAGAATTATATGTTGCCATATAACTTGATTCTAACATTTGAGCAAACCCGTTTATAGTACCTACCACATTTTCTAGCAGTTGAAAGGTTGCTCTTGTAGATTCTGCTAAACCTCCATTAGGATCTCCATTAATATTTTCCCTATTACCCATGTATCCATTATTATATCCATAGCCTGGAAAACTGTAGTTATTAAGGTAAGATCCCATACCATTATTCATACCATAGGTAGAGCCCATATTATACCCATAACCACCTCCCAAACTATAATTTGATCCCATCCCATAACCCATAGACGTCTGTTGGTTAAGTCCGTAATTAGATCCTCTATAATAAGGTGTGTTCAGTGTGGAGCCTGGTGAATGCCCTGGGATTGGTGGTGGCAGAGAGGTTTCGTTATTGTTGTTATTAGTATCGTTATTGTTATTGTAGTTATTATTATTCATTAAATGGGTGTCCGTATTATCAACACGTTGGTCATTGGAGTATGACTCGTTGGATACTTGCTCCAAAAGTTCTCCTTGAGGTGAATTTGTACTTTGGGTTAGTTCCCATGGTTTTGGTCGCGGTATTGAAGTCATTATTTGTATACTTTGTAATGTATACTAATTTAAAACGAGAACTAGCAAGTATTCATCAGTTCTAATAGTCTAACTTTCTACTTTCTTAGATATAAAGTATTAAATCCTTCTTGTATTAAAATACTGTTTTCACCTTTACAATATAATGATTTTTTAAATTTCAGGCATCAGCCGGCTAACCAAAAGCGCATGAATCAGTTTTACAAACAACTATAAGATTAAATAAATAAATATAGTGTAGTATGAATCGCATTTTAATAAAAGGTAAAAAAATTTATAAGTTTAAAAATATAAAAAACTATCATTTATATATTTACATATATTTATAAAGTAGAAGATTAGTAAGAAATGTTCGATGTAATTGGGTGATGGTATTATTGGAAGGTCCTTGAATATTGATGTATTTTTGTGCAGAGTACTATTCAATAGTTGTGCATGTTTTCTCATATTAAAATGAGTTTGTTAAATAGGTTAATGACTTGTTAAATATGTTAATGAGTTTGTTTTGGTGTGTCATCTAAATTAAAACAGTAAAATAATTTCTGACAGAATTAAAAGCGAATGTAAAGTTTTAGGGTAAAATGTGGTCATAATAAAAATAGCAGTTATAAATTAAGTTTTTTTAAAGAAAATAGAAGGAATGGGTATCTATAGCAGTCTTTGGTAATAATTTTTTAGTTTGTGTTCATTTCTGGATTGGAAGATGAAGTTGTAAACCCCTTTTAGAATTCTTCTTGATTAATTGAATAGATCTGTTCAATGGGTGACTTTCCTTCTCATCGTCAGCTTCGTATTCTAGGGCATCCCCTTCGTCTAAATCCGAATTATCAAAGCAACCTTCCTCATATTCATCAATTAAATCTTCTTCATTTGATGATACGTTATTTTTAGATGAAATAACTAAGCTGGAGTAATCAGAATTTTCTTCTATCCTCCTTAAGTCAATGCTGGAAATTCTGGAGATTCTAGAGACTTTTGGTAATCTGAGCGTATTTCTTTTAGATTTTCTTGTTCTTCTTTTGAAGTCAGGAATATCTACTGGAGTTGAATCCTCGATTGACATATTTTGGTCAATATAATTCAATTTCTCCAAGACTTTCTTGTAATCCTCAAATTTCTTTTCCAACATTTTAACTTTCTTTTCCATCGATCTATTCTTTCTCGTCGTGGTAGAACCGAATTCTGAGTTGGAATCTGCTATAGAATTTTCCTCAGATACACCTGTCTTTTGTCTCAATAGCTCAATCAAAAGGTTGTCTTCAGTAGTACGGTTAACATTCATAGAATTCACCAATTTTTCATTTTGTAATTTCAATTCCTGGATTTCAATTTCTAAGTACTTAATTTTCAAGTCTAATTTGGATGTTTCCATTTCTTGTGCAGATCTAACATTAGAGTTTGAGTTAGATACTGAAGATTGTGAATAAGGAAATTGAGGTTGATGATGATTTGGTGGTGGTTGCTGTGAATTTATTGTTTGAGGTCCGTGGACGTTTGGTACAGCTTGTTGATCAAATAAAAATTCATAATCAGTTGATGTTGAAGAAATAAAACTAAATCTGTTATTTTGTTTGTTGTTCAATGTAGGGGAATTAATGTTACCTCCATTTGAACTAATATTATGTGGATTTCTAGAATATTTTTGATGTGTATTCATATCAATAAACCCATTTTTATCAATTGGGAAACTTTCCACATTCAAGGATGAAAAGTCGGTAGATGTATCATTATTCTGAATTTGAGAATGGAACATTGTGGATGTATTCGACACAACTCTATCCTTCTCGAAAGATATATCTTTTTCCCTTTCATTTCTTTTCTTGACTTCTATTTCACCACTGTATTCATTTTCTAATGTTGACCCTCCACTTACAATCGAGTTACTTCTTAGAGATAATTCGGCTAATTTATTTGAAATAACCGGTTCTGTTGTGGTATTTTCTTTGATATTCATTTCATTTGTATCAGATAATTGTGTTTCTACAGTCTTTTTGGTAGTCTTAGATGTTTTTGTTTTTGTTTTGTTGAATTTTTGTAAATTTTTCTGTTGTTGTTGAATTTGATCTAAAGTCTCTCTAATTAACATTGAATTATCTGTAATATTAATCGATGATGATGAAGTTGCATTCGTCGTTGCAGATTTACGATTAGTGTCCTTTGTTGACGCAGCAGATTTCAATAGAGTAGATAATAATGGTAAGTTTGTTTTCTTTTGTGTTAAATATTCAGATTTTAACATTTTAGGTCCCAAAGCATTATTGTTGTTATTTGAAGTGGCTAGATTGAACCTAATAGGTGATATTGATCTAAAAGTTTCGGAATCTCTCCTTTCTCTAGAACGACCTGATCTAGCATAATCATTCAATTTCGATAAGGATGTTGAATAGAATCCACTTGTATTATCTAAATTCAATTTTGTAGGAGATGCTAATAACGATTGAAAGGCAGAACTATTCTTGGGATCGTCTAAACATAATGAAATGGGCGACATTTTTGGAGTTAGTTGCTCAGATCTCATATTAGGTGAGTTCATTTTCGATAATGTGTTGTTGTAGAAAACCAAATAATGACGATTTTTCTAGGAGGTTTCGATCTACCTCTCTCTCTTATCGTGTTGAATTTGTCGATTTTACAATGTAAATTGTTTTCAAACACAATATTAAAACTTTTTATATATATTTATTTCAGGATATTAAAAATCAACAGAAGGTTCAAATATTAAACTATAGTGTCTACAGTTTAAATTAAAAAATGGTTTTTGGAAGACAAAATAAATAAAGGAAAATTTTGTTTTATTCTTAACAATCCTCAACTGACATAACAAAGCTTTTTGTTATTTTAAAAAAAAAATAAAATATCAAAGATGAGGATGAAAGAAATTAGAATTTGATTGTTGAAGGAAGATCTTATTAAAAAATTCAAGCTCATTAATCCAGTTTTCTTCTGATTTGTTAGTATTCTTGATATGAATACAAGTGTTTATTTCATTGAAAAGAAAGCCCGAGAGAGAGGAATGAGGAAAATTCAATATTTTTGTTTGTTGATCTCTTTCCTTTTTCGGATTGATCCCGTAGTTAACTTTATTGCCATTTTCGTTATATTATCTTTCCCGATTAGGATTCCGTGCATCATTTTTTTCTGTGATTCTTTCTCCGGGTCGTTCTTCTTTTTGTAATTATCTTTGGAAATATTTATTGAGGAACAGAACTATTTTCAAATAGTTCGGGAGCTATCCCTTTCTATAATATTTGTAGCAGTTCTATGATAGGGTCAAACAGAGACCCTTATTAGGGTTTTCAGATCTAATTTCATCATATCGTTAATCATTTTGTAAAGAACAAATTCAAGGTCTTAAGAAGTTATCAACCGATCATTTTTCACTAGACAGGGAACCATATATATACATATACGTTACTTCTGTAATTAATTGTTTTGTGAAATTGTTTTTAATAAACTATATGGTGTTATATATGTATATATATGCAATGTAAATTTTGAAAATCATTTCAAGAGAGAATGACTTTCAAGGTAGAAAGAGGTTTCATTAATTGTCCTTAAATGTTAGTCTCCTTTTCACAATTAGAAAAAAAAATCATCAAAAAAAAAAAGAGAGAGATATAGAGAGATAGAACGTCAAAAAGTGCAAAGCTATTTTACTTTATTTCTTTTGCATTGTTTGATTTAATATTAGTTTGTAAATTATCCTTATTCCCATTAGTAATTGAATTATATTTAATTATTTTATGCCGTTGTAGTTTATTTTTCTTCTGTAATATTATTTCATTTCTTTCTACTAAATCATCAATATTTCTATATATTTGTTCTTTATCTTTAGAGTTTATTGGAAGATTATTTTCTATTTCATCTAAAGTTATACTTTCATCACTATCATTATCACTATCAATGTGATGGTTTATTGAGGATTGTTGTTCTTTATTTTCATCTGTATGATGTAAAAGATAATTAATATTTGCTTTATGTGGAATTCGAATTGAATTATTTTCTTTAATATTATTATTTCGTAACCTCCTCTTTTTATTTCGACTATTAAACCTTTGTGAATTTAAAGTTCTTCTTTTCAAGAAGGCATTTTCATTATAATCATTATCATTATTTAATTCACTAGATTCTTCATATATTTCAGATGAAATAGTTATAATTTTATTAAGTGAAGAAAGTAAATCAGTAATAACTTTTCTCTTTTCATTTTCTGAGGATTTATTATTACTATAACTTTTCTCTTCTTCTTCTTCTTCTTCTTCTTCTTCTTCCTCAACTTTTATTTTATTTGAATGTTTTAATTTCATATTTTGTTCATCATAATTTTCATCTTTAATATTCTCCATTTCGTTATCCTCACTTTTTCTTGAAACTTTAATGCTATTATTATTTGTATTCTCAATTGTTGATAATAATTTATTACTTTTAAATTCATTATCATTTTTGGGAAAGTTTGAAATATCCGAATCAGCATTCGAATCAAATTTATTCATGTTATATTTTGTTTTATTATTTTTTTGATTTTCCTTTCCTTTCTCTTATAATGCAATGAATTTGTAGAGAGAGAAGAAAAGAAAAAAAAACCAATTGTATTTAAAAAGGATGAATAAGTAGTATTGAAAGCTGTAACGGTTGGAATAATGTAAATATCTAATCCTATATCATATAACCAGTATGCAAATCACTGTCGTCTTCATAAGCAAGTTTTACTCAATGTATCCAATTGTAATATGCACTTTGTAACTCTCTGACTACGTTAAATAATCGTCTTCCTATTTTCTTTTTAATTTCAGGTTTGTTATAGGGATTGTTTCACCTTGAATCAGCTTTTATTCCTTATTTGCCAAAAAAAAAAAAAGAGGTACGTACTAAGTTATAAACAGTTCCTATTTATTTAATTTTCAATTTTTTTTCACTTCTCGCTTCTTTGCTGCAAAACTGTTTTTCTTCCAAATTTTCAAATATTGAGAAATAATGGGTGTTTCTACGTGGTTTTGTCTTAGAGATGCACACTTTCTACCTGCATTTCTTTGCGTCTCTTTCTGCATAGTTAAACATCAAATTCACCGCAAAACGTTTTCGAATTGGGAAATTGTTTCTTTCTTCTCTTGTTTGCAATCAGGACAGATCAAGAGACAATGCCATGGAGGTTGCAATGGTTGATGCGTTTTGCATATGTACTCAATTGCAGGCGGGTAAGTAGATCAATGGTTATTTATCGGTGTGTGTTTCGTGGTCGATAGCTATATTAACGGAATTTGGATGTAATGTATATATGCAGTAGGTTCTTTCTTTATAGTATGCGTATCTATGTATGATGGATAATTTCAAGAATTGAGGTTAGTTTCGGCGACTTAGTAGTATTCGTGATGCAGAGGCTGCATGTGTGAGTACTTGAGCTGTCCAACCAGAAATGGATTACAGTAGATATAGAGAATGCACAGTGGTCAAAAGATCCGACATTTGAAGGCAAGTTATTGAAAGTATTGCCATCATCCTAGGTACTAATGAAATGGTTGATAGAGAAATCAGTGCAGCAATCTCTGTGTGTGATCTTCTTTTGTTGGTATGCATAGTGATACAATTTCTCAAGTTTTGATAGATGTGACCAAAACGATGGCAAACCAGAATATGTATATATATATATATATAGTCAATTTCGTATTTGGTTTCACTAGCCTTGCTTCTTCTCTTTATTCTAATGCATTTGGTGTAACTTCTTAGTAGCCCCCGAAGTAAGGAACCAAAAAAAATTAGAAAAATAAAAAAAGATTAAAGGGAACTTAATGAATAATAGTAAATAGAAAAAAACAAGACAATCTCGACTTCCAACATATGTTGTTGATTTAATTTTTTTCGTAGAGAAGATCTGAATGAAAAAAATACATAATCTCGTTGAAGTAGAATAGATATCAAACAGTTTGTGGTTTCGTTTCTCCGATGTTATCGCTTGGTAAACTGTCATTAAACAGTATAAAAACGAGACAACCAAGTTTATTGAGAACGTCAATTCGTTCAATCTCACATGCACGAATAACTTATCAAACGTCTAAAACCCCATTTATTCGTTCCCCTGCTCAACCTGTTTATTCTTCTTCACAAAGTTCAAAGAAGCCAAAGAGCAAAGAAGATTTGGCTAGAGAACGATTTGAAAATCAATTAAAGTCAAAAAATTGGTTTATTCGATGGGGTGCTAAATTAAGATCTGATGAATTTAGTAAAGGAATGACTAAATATATGATTGGTGCTTATATTGTATTTTTAATATATGGTTATTTTTTTATGAAAAAATTATATATTAAAGAGAAAGAATTAAAAGAATTAGTGGAAAAGCAAAATGAAGGTAATACAAATGAATATGAAAATTTAAGAATTAAAGAATTAAATGGTAAAATGAGAACAAGAGATAAATTAAAATTAGAACAATATAATGAAATGAAAAAGACAGGTATTGAAAATTTTGATGGTTATGAATTAGAGATTACTGATCAAAATAAATTAAATAAATCTATTTTACCTGCTCATGATACTACTCCATTTTATGATTCTAAGGCAGAAGATTATGATAATGATATTAATATGGAAGAACGTGTTATTGGTATGGGTAGAAGACGTAAATGGTTAATGAAGCACTGTAAAGGTGATGTATTGGAGGTTTCGTGTGGTACTGGTAGAAATATTAAATATTTAGACCCTGAACATATTAATTCGATTACATTTTTAGATTCTTCCGAACCAATGATGGAAGTTGCACATAAAAAATTTAGGGATAAATTTCCAACTTATAAGAAAGCTGCCTTTGTAGTTGGTAAAGCTGAGGTTTTAAATAAATTAGCTAAACAAACAGATAAAGATGGTAATGAAAAAGATGTTAAATATGATACAATTATTGAGACATTTGGTTTATGTTCTCATGAGGATCCGGTAAATGCTTTAAAGAATTTTGCAAGTTTATTAAAACCTGAAGGTAGAATTATCTTATTAGAACATGGTAGAGGTGATTATGATATCATTAATAAGATTCTTGATAAGAGAGCAAAAAGACGTTTGGATACATGGGGTTGTAGATGGAATTTAGACATAGGTGAAATTATTGACGATTCATCTTTAGAGATTGTTGAAGAGAAAACATATCATTTAGGTACTACTTGGTGTATTGTGGCGAAGAAGAAAGGTGATATTAAGAGGAAAGATGAAATTGGATTCTTTGAGAAATATGTTGGATCAAGTATTAAAAAGAGAATGGAATCCTTTGAAGAAGTTGATAATTCATCGACCTCTCGAAACGCATTATCTGAAACAAAACAAGATGGTAAGTAGTAAATATATTTAAAAATATTCACAATCATGTAAATAAATATTATATCTCAGACTTTCATAACTGAGTGATAAGGTATCCAGAATTAAAATAGTATAAAAGGATATTCTGAAAATTGCCAGAGATCTTTGACAGCTTAAAGCAGATATATATTAAATCCTGGATCTTCAAAAAAAAACGAATAAAAAAAAAGAGAGAGAGAAAACGTCGATGCTGCGAAGAGTAGAGCTGAAAATTTCTTTGAAGAAAAAACAAGATAGGCTACTGAATGGAGAGCTCATCGTTATTCAGTAAAACAATTTTTTTACATCCAGAGAATATACGCAAATATATTATTCGGTACTGATTGATTAGAATCATTCTTTTTGTATATTTATATATATATTGAACTGGTGCTAAAAACCTAGTGAATGTTTAGATTATTTGGTTTGAATAGATATATCCATACAATCAAGATGTCATCATTAAACAAATATGCTCCTCCTGTCAATCGTCATATGACGAAATTGGATAAATCATTTTTCATTACCAAAGTTCCTCTATGTGTAATTGAATTTCCAGATCCTAAAAATATCAGTGTATTTTCTAAAAAATTTAAGGATTATATTTTAAGAATCCCAAGAATTCCTCATGTGATTAAATTATCGGAATCTGTTAAAAATGGTGATAAAACTTTAGCATGTGATAATGGTATAGTAAAGAAAGGTGTTCTTCTAACCGATACTATTTCTAATTTAGATGATGCTGAAAAAAAATTATCAGATGATGCTAAAGCATTTTTAAATGAGCAAAATGCTACTATCAAACCATATGAATATACTTTAGATTATGATTATTGGCAAGCTGAAGATATCTTAAAGTCTGTCTTACCAGAAGAATATCTTGATGAGATTCCAACAGGTTTTACAATTACGGGACATATTGCCCATTTAAATTTAAGAAAAGAATTTAAACCATTTGATTCTTTAATTGGTCAAGTAATTCTCGATAAAAATACAAAGATTACATGTGTTGTTGATAAAGTTAGTTCGATTGCAACAAAATTTAGAACATTTCCAATGAAAATTATTGCAGGTAATGATAATTTAATAGTAGAACAAAAAGAATCAAATTGTATATTTAAATTTGATTTTAGTAAAGTTTATTGGAATTCAAGATTACATACAGAACATGATAGATTAGTGACACAATATTTTAAACCAGACGAAGTTGTTTGTGATGTTTTTGCAGGTGTTGGACCATTTGCTGTTCCTGCAGGTAAAAAGGGTTCGATTGTATTAGCCAATGATTTAAATCCTGAAAGTTTTAAATATTTACAAGAAAATATTTTATTAAATAAAGTTGATACTACGGTTAAGCCATTTAATTTAGATGGAGCAGAATTTATTAGACAATCACCAATTTTATTAAAACAATTAATTTCTAATAGTGATAATGGTATTCTTAAATTACGTTTAAAGAATAATAGAAAGAAGCATAAGAAAAATGATCATAGTGAATCATTACAACAACAACAACCTGAATTTAAAGAAATTATAATACCAAATGAAATTAGTCATTTTGTAATGAATTTACCAGATAGTGCAATTGATTTCCTTGGTAATTTTGTTGGTATCTATTCAAATGAACAAGACAGCGAGAAAAAGATAATGCCATGGATTCATGTACATTGTTTTGAAAAATATGGTAATGATGAAGATTTAACTATGGAAGAATTATATAGTAGAGTTCATTTAAGAATATTAAAATCCATGAATACTACTTCTGCGATTTTACCAATTGAAACTATGTCATTTCATTTAGTTCGTAAAGTATCACCAACTAAACCAATGTTTTGTGTAAGTTACAAATTACCCGCTGAGCTTGCATACAAGAAATAACAAAAATAACATGAATACTAATTAGAACTAATCATATTATTAATTCTTTGAGTGAGAGTGAGGTTATCACTTTAGTGTAAAAGTAATAAGGTGAATAAGTATTTAGCTTATATTTTCCCGTTACCGCTCTTATGATATAGTTTAGAATATTGATTGACTAATACAACAAAATAAGAAGAGGGTGGAACTAAGTTTAATATAGTATATACCATTATTTAATTATAATTTATTTAAACAAGAAAAAAAAAAAATAAGAAGCACAGAAGAGGTCTTAACTTTCATTAGAACAAGAAGTCCGTAAGCGGGTATTGTTATTCTGTATCATTTATAGTCATTCACACATATATTATCTAGAAGAAAAATTGTGTACGTATACAGATGTATTGAACACAATCTCAATGAACCCTTTTTTTTCTAATTTATGTTTTTTGGTTAAAACAAATTGTAAATCTCTCTGATCTTTAAATTAGTCAGATTCACTACAAGGAGAGGAGATCAAAAATTCCATAGCAATTTTGAAAGATATCTCTTAATGTGACTTCTTCATTGTGTGGCATTCCAACCTTAACAAACTTATCTATTTCAGTAGTAACTAGCTTCCACCCCATTACAGACAGGCTTACAAGCCTCCCTCTCGAGCACCACCCAGTTTTGACTCACTTTTTTACAGCTACCCGTGCTAGAGGCCAAGATCACTGCGTACGACCGCACAATTCAATGAAAAAACTGAAAATTTCAAAAAATTTCTGCGTTTTTTTATGACTAACACAAAAAGAAACCAGAAAAACCAAACACCCTGAGTGAACTGTCCGTAGGGAAATGTTCGCGTTATAGATAAGAAATTTGTTTCCCGGTTCGCGGGGGGGAGACAAATAACGGAAATCACCAGTTTATTGAATGCGTCATAACGTATAGATATATATACATTTTTTTTCCATATAGTGCCTCCCTAGATTCAAATGTAGATTAGATAATAATAAGTGATGGACGGGTTGAATTTCCTGTGTGATATACATTCATATATAAGTAAGACATCTCGAAACAAGTTTAAATATATTCTTATTTGTTTAATAGTATTATTATATTTACTCTTCGTAGTATAGATATAGCTAATCAAGAGTTGAATAAGGTTTATCCTGAAGGTTATTCCCTTTTCACTCATATTAAAGAAATTCAAACAATTTTTACCTGCCCTATTTTTATAAGGAATAGTAGTAACATTTGATTCATATCATTATATTACTATTATTTATT